TATGTGCAGGCACAAGTGTTTTTAGAGAACCTTGAAGAACCTCTTAGGGAGTATGTCCGGTTTGTTACTTCACTTAAGGTCAGTGCTGTGTTTTTTTCCTGGAATGAAATCTCTGCTCTGCTTTCTTTTTAGTTTGCTTCCAACTCTTTATTTCCTTACCGATTGCTGTTTCTCTATATGCGTTTGTTTAAGACTCTTCTCCACCTTTTTCTCAAAAACATGTTTGTTAATGCATGAATGATGAAACCTTGGAGGCTGACTCTATGCATCTCTTCCCATCCCTCTGCACCTCTCCCTGTGCAGAAAGCCATCTCAGACCGCTCCCTGGCATGGCGCAATCTGAACCAGCTGGAGGCAGATCTCAAGGCCAAGAAGGGCAAGCTGTGAGTGCGAGAGGGAAAGCTGTGAGTGTGAGAGGGGAAGCTGTGAGTGCGAGAGGGCAAGCTGTGAGAGCGAGAGGGGAAGCTGTGAGTGCGAGAGGGCAAGCTGTGAGTGCGAGAGGGCAAGCTGTGAGTGCGAGAGGGGAAGCTGTGAGTGCGAGAGGGGAAGCTGTGAGTGCGAGAGGGGAAGCTGTGAGTGCGAGAGGGCAAGCTGTGAGTGCGAGAGGGGAAGCTGTGAGTGCGAGAGGGTTGATAGGTGCGAGTGTGAGAGGGGTAGTTGAGAGTGTGAGAGGGGTAGTTGAGAGTGTGAGAGGGGTAGTTGAGAGTGTCAGAGGGGTAGTTGAGAGTGTGAGAGGGCTAGATAAGTGTATGAGGAAATGTTAGGATTCTGGGAGTTCTGTTGAGGTGCCTAAACAATGAAAAAGAGTCTGGACGTTTTTCATTGTTATCCCTTCCGTGCGTGGAGCTGCTGATTGAAGCACCCTCAAGCTCTGGGGCAAACGACAAGGTTTCTGGACGTTGCAAATTATGACTGCGTTGTGTGCAAGCATTACGCCCAAGCGTCAATGAAACAAGAAACAAGAGGAGATTTGAGCGTGATTTGAGTTGTGTCTTGAGCCTGATTTGAGTTGTGTCTTGAGCGTGATTTGAGTTGTGTCTTGAGCGTGATTTGAGTTGTGTCTTGAGCCTGATTTGAGTTGTGTCTTGAGCATGATTTGAGTTGTGTCTTGAGCGTGATTTGAGTTGTGTCTTGAGCCTGATTTGAGTTGTGTCTTGAGTGTGATTTGAGTTGTGTCTTGAGCGTGATTTGAGTTGTGTCTTGAGCGTGATTTGAGTTGTGTCTTGAGCGGGATTTGAGTTGTGTCTTGAGCGGGATTTGAGTTGTGTCTTGAGCGGGATTTGAGTTGTGTCTTGAGCGGGATTTGAGTTGTGTCTTGAGCGTGATTTGAGTTGTGTCTTGAGCGTGATTTGAGTTGTGTCTTGAGCGTGATTTGAGTTGTGTCTTGAGCGTGATTTGAGTTGTGTCTTGAGCGTGATTTGAGTTGTGTCTTGAGCGTGATTTGAGTTGTGTCTTGAGCGTGATTTGAGTTGTGTCTTGAGCGTGATTTGAGTTGTGTCTTGAGCCTGATTTGAGTTGTGTCTTGAGCGTGATTTGAGTTGTGTCTTGAGCGTGATTTGAGTTGTGTCTTGAGCGTGATTTGAGTTGTGTCTTGAGCGGGATTTGAGTTGTGTCTTGAGCGGGATTTGAGTTGTGTCTTGAGCGGGATTTGAGTTGTGTCTTGAGCGTGATTTGAGTTGTGTCTTGAGCGTGATTTGAGTTGTGTCTTGAGCGTGATTTGAGTTGTGTCTTGAGCGTGATTTGAGTTGTGTCTTGAGCGTGATTTGAGTTGTGTCTTGAGCGTGATTTGAGTTGTGTCTTGAGCGTGATTTGAGTTGTGTCTTGAGCGTGATTTGAGTTGTGTCTTGAGCGTGATTTGAGTTGTGTCTTGAGCGTGATTTGAGTTGTGTCTTGAGCCTGATTTGAGTTGTAGCGTGATTTGAGTTGTGTCTTGAGCGTGATTTGAGTTGTGTCTTGAGCGTGATTTGAGTTGTGTCTTGAGCCTGATTTGAGTTGTGTCTTGAGCGTGATTTGAGTTGTGTCTTGAGCCTGATTTGAGTTGTGTCTTGAGCGTGATTTGAGTTGTGTCTTGAGCGTGATTTGAGTTGTGTCTTGAGCGTGATTTGAGTTGTGTCTTGAGCGTGATTTGAGTTGTGTCTTGAGCGTGATTTGAGTTGTGTCTTGAGCGTGATTTGAGTTGTGTCTTGAGCCTGATTTGAGTTGTAGCGTGATTTGAGTTGTGTCTTGAGCGTGATTTGAGTTGTGTCTTGAGCGTGATTTGAGTTGTGTCTTGAGCCTGATTTGAGTTGTGTCTTGAGCGTGATTTGAGTTGTGTCTTGAGCCTGATTTGAGTTGTGTCTTGAGCGTGATTTGAGTTGTGTCTTGAGCGTGATTTGAGTTCTGTCTTGAGCTCAGAACTGTGTGTTCTCCCTGCGTGCGCAGGCATAGAGCGCAAGCAACGTCAATGAAGCAGGAGAAGATCGAGGAGATAGAGAAGGAGATTGCAGATGTGAGTGTAGTTGGGGCTTTTGAGTGATCGGATGTGAGTGTAGTTGGGGCTTTTGAGTGATCGGATGTGAGTGTAGCTGGGGCTTTTGAGTGATCGGATGTGAGTGTAATTGGGGCTTTCGAGTGATCGGATGTGAGTGTAGTTGGGGCTTTTGAGTGATCGGATGTGAGTTCAGACCATGTGTGCATGTGTGCATGTGTGCATGTCTGCATAAAGGACGGGTGCATGCATTCATGTGTGAATGTGTCAAAGGCTCACATAAAATGTGGATTCAATCCCCCACCTATCCTTTTATATCCAGGTGAGTCGCAAGCTGGAAGATTCTAGGAAAGAGCATGCTGACGTGGCGCAGCGCCTAGCTGGCGAGCTGCAGCGGTGCCACGTGGAGATGGCAGCGGATTTCGACCGCATGTTCCGGGACTTTCGTGCCGTCCAGGTTCGCATCACGCGGCAATCAGCTCACTCGTGGGAGTCCTTGCAACCTGCTATCAGGGCTGCTGGTGCTGTGCTGCGGTAGTCACAGTCACAGCCACAGCTACAACCACCAGCACAGCAAGCAGTGTAAATTTTAGACTTCAGGGCAGCCCAGGTTTGCATCATGCGGCAGTCAGCCCACTCGTGGGAGTCCTTGCAACCTGCTATTAGAGCTGCTGGTGCTGCCCTGCAGCAGTCACAGTCACAGCCACAGCCACAGCCAAAAGTTTACCATAGGAAGTGCTCGAGGAAAAAAATGATGACCATGTATGACTGAGCCCTTCGGAGTAATGTCTCATGCAACCATTTGCCAATATCACATACTACTGTGCGATGCTATTGCAACTGTACAATCCACATGTAAGTTAGTGCTTTAAAAACACAAGGAACTTGCATTTACCGGTAGCAGCACCTACACAAGACAGATACATAATCAAAACTTGGATTGCCAGCTCGTGCTAACTCAGTGTGGAAATCGAAGTCCTCCTGCCAAGCACTGGCGCAAGACTGCCCAAGCTGTTCCCTTAAATGTAACAACAAGAACGCCGCTCTTAGTTTTGACCTTAAATACATCAGAATTCGAGCGGGTTGATGTGTTGAGCTGTGTGACTTGAGCTGTGTTACGACATTCCAACAAAAGGGAAGGCATCGCATGAGGGGATCGGAAGCGAAAGGGGAGAGGAACAGGAGGGGGATGGGGAGGGGGTTGGGGAGGGGGATGAGGAAGAGTAATAGCGACTTCAGTAGTGCCTGAATTAGCTAGTAACGCCTCTAGGGTACAAAGAGCCTGCAGCTGGTAACATGAAGAGGCGAGAGGCAGGCAGGAGAGAGGAGATGAAGTGACGGAAGGTGGAAGAGCAAGGGAGGGGGCAACAGGAGGGAGAGGAAGGGAGAGGGCCAATTGGAAGTTGCTGTCTAACACAGACCAACCAGGTGTGTGAGAGAAGGCATGTTGATGCATGCATGCCGAACGCATGATGAGACAGCAGATGCTGAGCACGTGCCGTGATGCATGCTGATGCACGCCCGTGCATGCTGACACATGCTGACACATGCTGACACATGCTGACACATGCTGACACATGCTGACACATGCTGACGCATGCTGACACATGCTGACGCATGTCGACACATGCTGACGCATGCTGACACATGCCGAGCCACACGCCGAGCCACACACCGAGCCACATGCTGAGCGCATCTTGAGCCTGGAGCTGATGCAAGCCGTCCCTACGAATCTCCTGCTGCTGCCAGCCACTGCTGCAGGCAGCAAACCTCGGCAACAGAGGTCTGTCTCGTCAGGACCAGCAATAGAATGCACAGGCGGTGTCTACCCGTGGCTCATCAGTATCGGCTGCCAAACTCAGAGCCCCCCTACAGGTTTTAAGCGATGCCACCACTAGCACCTACAGATGCCACATCTGCCACCGCAACCCAATCCAGGTTCGAGCGAGCTCATAACATTCCACGTCAGCCTAAAGCTCATAACATCCCAGGCTTACAGGCTAATTTTTTTAGGCGCCTCAAAAATAATTCCACACGTCCCAGGCTTACAGGCTAAAGCTATGAGCAGCCACACCCAGCCCACCAGCTACCATCAGCCACTCCTGGCTATCCTTCACCCAGCAACTACTCTTTCGCTGGTGAATCTGCGCGAGTGGGTTGACCCGACGCCCCTCTTCGGACCCATCGCCAAAGTCCCTCCACAGCCCCTCTGCTGCTCCCCTCCTCCTCCTCTGCTTCTGATGCTGCTGCTCCTGCTGCTGCTCCTGCTGCTGCTCCTGCTGCTGCTCCTGCTACTGCTGTTCCCCTCACCCTCCACCACCTTCTTTCCACCACCTGCTTTTCCCTCTCTGTTGATGCCGCCGCAGCTGCTGCTGCTGACATGCCCACTCAAGCAGACGCATCTGCTGCTGCTGTCTTTTTCTTGACAACTTTCTTCTTAACCGTCTTCTCCCTCCCACCTCCCTCTGCCCCATCCAGGAGCGCATTGAGTCGGCTCAAAACACGCCGCAGCTGCTCCTCCCAAAGTGCCCACTCAAGCAGTCGCATCTGCTGCTGTCTTTTTCTTGACAACTTTCTTCTTAACAGTCTTCTTCTCCCCACCTCCCTCTGCCCCATCCGCGCCCTCCCCTGCAGCCCCATCCTTTTTCTTCACCACTTTTTTCTTCACTATTTTCTTTTTCTTCCCCTCACCCACCTCCCCTTCAGCCGCCCCCTCCCCTTCCGCAGCTTTCTTTTTCTTAACTACTTTCTTCACCACTTTCTTTACCACTTTCTTCTTTCCACCCTCCTTCGCTCCTTCCTCCCCTGCTGCCGCCCCCGCTGCTGCTGCTTCGCCCTCCTTTGCACCACCTGCTGCCGCTACCCCTGCTGCTGCTGCTGCTGCCCCTTCTGCTGGCTTGTCTCCTGTCCCCTCCTCCTCGTCCTCCTCACTGTCACTATCGTCGTCATCACTACTTGATTCCACCTCACTCACCTCCGATTCCTTCCCTGCCTCCTCCTTCCCTCCCTCCTTCGCTCCCTCCTTCCCCTCACCACTCTTCTTTTCATCCTTCTTTGCATCTCCACCGTCCTTTTTCTCATCCTTCTTTGCATCTCCACCGTCCTTTTTTTCATCCTTCTTCTCCTCCTTCTTCTCGTCCTTCTTCTCATCCTCATCCTCATCATCATCATTATCATTCGCCACCTGGCGCTTCTTAATGGCAGCCAGCATGTTAACAGGCCCCTTTTTCCCCTCCTCCTTCTTCCCTTCTCCTTCCTTCTCCCCATCCTTCTCCCCATCCTTCTTCCCATCCTTCCCCCCTTCCCCTCCCTCCTCCCCTCCTCCCCCTCCCCCTTCCTTCTCCTTTGCTTCTTTCGCCTCCTGTGCTGCTTTCTCCTTGGCTGCTTTCGCCGCCTTCTCAGCCGCTTTTTTCTCCTCCAATTCCTTCTTCTTTTTGTCCTCAATCTCTTTTTTCTTCTCCTTCTCGATCCGCTTTATCTCCGCTTCCGCGTTCTTTATGTTCTCGTCTTGAGACTTTTTGAACGACTGCACGAAATTGTGAAGCACGGTAGCAACTGAGGCGGGATGGGGGCGAGAAGGGGAGGGAAACGGGGGAAAGGTGGGAAGGGGGGAGAGGCGGGAAGGGGGGAAGGGGGGAAGGAGAATTGACAACTGAGTTCTTCTCTTCTAGCTCCTCCTTCTTCGCCGTTCTCCTCCTTCTCGATCCGCTTTATCTCTGCCTCGAAGCTACTTATATTCTCGACTATAAACTTTTTAAGAAACTGCACGAGATTGTGCAGCACAGAGGCAACTGAGGCGGGGAGGAGGGGAGTAGGTAAGGGCAAGAAGAAGGGAAGGAGGGAAGGAGAGAAGGGAAGGAGGGGGAGACGCGGACGGGGGAAGGAGAATCAACAACTGTTGACAAGGGCAACTGAGGCGGGGGGAGGGAAGTGGGTAAGGCCAGGAGGGGCGGAAGGAGAATAGACAACTGCTTTTTATGCTCTCGTCTTGAAACTTTTCAAATGCTGCATGAAATTGTGCAGAACAGTGGCAACTGTGCAATCACAGGGAAAATTTGTGTAGGGAGCTTTCATTGTGCAATCACTTGGTAAGTTAGCAAGAGAGAGGGAGGAGAGGGAGGATGTGAGGGAGGAGGACAGAGGGAGGAAGGAGGAGAGCTCACCTTGCTCGAAGGGGCACACTTGGCTGGGTCTTCTCCAAAGTATCTCGCGAGCCCATCAGACGACTTTGAGACGTCTCAAAAGGAGGTAGGAGGGAGGAGCGAGCCACCTTGGATGGAAGGAGGAGGGAAAGAGCTCACCTTGTTCGAAGGGGCACTTGGCTGGGTCTTCTCCAAAGTATCTCGAGAGCCCATCTGTTGCCTTGGACTGCAATACCGTGTAGCACCATGTAGCACCATGCAGCACCATGTAGCACCATGCAGCACCATGCAGCACCATGCAGCACCATGCACGCCCCATGAATGCAGCAGTGCAACAAGACAGCCATGTGCCACCACACCTCCACACCATATGCCACCATGCAGTACCATCAGTCACACAGATGCACCACACCACACCACACCACACCACACCACACCACACCACACCACACCACACCACACCACACCACACCACACCACACCACACCACACCACAACCCATGCCATCACGCCCATGCACGGCAACATCTGGTTAGCATGACCTGAAAGCTTCAGTAGACACAACAATTGAATGAATAAATGTCAAGTTGCTTCCGACAAACAAGATTCTATACTTGTGCCACATGAGAGACTGAGGCTTGAAAACACTTCTGCATTACTGCTGACACACTACATCCAGTTAGCACCCACCCAGCCAACAAAGTCACGGCAGTTATTATAATTATTCTAAAAAAAAAAAAAAAAAAAAAATCCAGTCACACGGGTCAAGGCAGTCAAAGCAGTAAGCCCAGTCATCCCAGCCAGCAGTCAAGGCAGTCAAGGAAGTCAACCCACCACATCAGCATAAAGTGCAGCCAGCCTCTTGGCTCCTGACGTGGCTTCCTCTGCAAACTCTTTCAGAGCCTGCGGTGGTGGGGGTGGGAGGGGGGGCCATAAAAGGTCGAGTAGAATGGGTATGTTGGCTATCGTGACGACAAGCTTGGCAAGCATGTATGTCTGCATGTATGTCTGCCCACCTTTTGGGAGTTCTTTGAGTGAGACCAGGCCGTCCTTCTCCGATGCCACCAGTTCGCGCTAAAAATCCACCACCTGTTCTCCCCCCCCAGCCCCCACTACCTCTGAGTAGTACACCCCTTTCCCCCCCCGCCCCCCCCCACACCCCCCCTTGACCCGCCACCCTTGCCCACCGTTCTGTTCCATGGAAGGGGTCCCCTTCCACAGAATCCCCTTACCCCCCCTCCTTGCCCACCACTAGGAAGTTCTCCCACATGGGCCCGCCCTTCTCCCACACGGGCCTGTCCTTCTCTGACACCACCATTTCGCGTTGGAATGCCACCACCTACTCCTCCCCCAACCTCTGAACTACCCCCCCCTCCCTCCCCACTCCACCCACTGCTCGAAAATTCTCAGACACGTGTCCATCCTTCTCCGATGCCACCATTCCAAGTTGAAATGACACCACCTACCTTCCCCACCCCCCATCATCCCCCCTCCCTCCCCACTCCACCCACCGCTCGGAAGTTCTCAGACACAGGCCCGTCCTTCTCTGATGCCACCATTTCGCGCTCCAGCTTGGTGGTGCCGCTGTTGAGCTGGCTCATTTCCTCTCCCAGCTGCTTCACTTGGATCTGAAAGTTGGGGGAGGGGTGGAAGGGGTTTGGGTGGTAAGGGGAGCAGGGGGGAAAGGGAAGAGAAAGGGTCAAATTCCAGCTTCGGTGTGCCTCTGTTGAGCTGCTGCTGCATTTCCTCTCCTAGCTACTTCACTTGAATCTGAGAAGGGGAGGTGGGGGGGGAGACAATGAGGGCAGAGAGGACACGGAACAATAGCGGGTGGGAGGGAAGAGAAGAGGGGAGCCCGATAGTGGGTAAATGGCTCAACTTAGTGCTGCTGAAGTGCTGTTTGGCAGGTTCGGGAGACAAACGGTGTGGGCAGGTTCGGGAGACACACCTTGTGGGCAGGTTCGGGAGACAAACCTTGTGGGCATCTTCAAGGGACGGCAGCTCCTCCCAGAACAAGGCGAGCTCGGGAAGCTTCTCCGTGAGCACCTGAAGAGAATAAACAGAGAAAAGCAGGGTTCGCAGGGAGAATGTACATTCAATTGTGAAAATGATCAGCAGAAGAGCTTATTGCTTGCACTTGGGTGGGCACACAACAAAACAAGGTACAGACACCTGTCTGTCTGCTGTGGGTAGCTGAGGAGGGTTCCGTGGACATGCTTGCTATGCACAGACGAAATAGAGAGAGAAGGACCGTTTTGAGACGTCTCAAAACTTCACTCTATCACGTGCGCGGGCTTGCTTTGCACAGACGAAATAGAGAGAGAAGGACCGTTTGAGTGAAGAAAAATTAGATGGACATTACGTGTGGAGAATAAGAAAAGAGTACGGCAGGAAAAAAAGAGGAAATCTTCGCCCCTCGGCAGCGCTTGAGTCGACTAGGAAAAAAAAAAAAAATCTTCACGCCTCGGCAGCTTTCACCTTGGTGTCGGTCATGAGGGTCATCTTGTTGTTTTGAGTCTTGGTGTCGGTGAGCTTCAGCAGACTGTCCAGCTTGAACCCCACCGCAGAGCCCCTCGTCACTCAACACCCATCATCACCGCACAGCACCCACCTTCACCCCTCAGCACCCATCCTCACCCCTCAGCACCCATCCTCACCCCTCAGTACCAACCCACCTTCGCCAGATAGTGCATGAGAGTCATCTTGTTGTTGCGCGTCTTGGTGTCGGTGAGCTTCAGCAGACTGTCCAGCTTGAACCCCACGGCAGAGCCCCTGGCAGTGCCCTGGTTGAGGGCATTCCCCAGCGACAGAATGGTCTGCATTATGCGCCTCAGCCTCTTGGAATCGCGCACCTGGTGTGTGCCATAGGGAAGAGAGTTTGAGAGTGGAGGGAGTGGTGGGTGAAACTTGAAGCCCACGGCAGGGCCAGTGGCTGGCGGTGCCCTGGTTGAAAGTGCATTCCCCAGCGACAGAATGGTCTGCATTATGCGCCTCAGCCTCTTGAAGCCTCGGACCTGCGTGCCATAGGGAAGAGAGAAAGGAGAAGAGGAAAGAGGAGGACGAAGGGAGTGGATTGAAGAGCGGAGGAGAGAGAGAGACGAGGGGAGGCAAGAAAAGAGAGAGAAGATGGGGAGGCGAGGAAGAAGGGGGAGCGAGGAAAGATGGAGAAGCAGGAGAAGAGGGGGGACGCGAGGGAAGAGGGAGCGAGGGAAGAGCGGGAAGCGAGGGAAGAGGGGGAAGCAAGGGAAGAAGGGGAAGCGAGGAAGAGGGGGAAGCGAGGGAAGAGGGGGAAGCGCGCACCTCATCTCCTTATAGTCACACTCATGACCTCAAGGTTATGTCACACTCTCGCCTCCTCACAGTCTGTCACACCCACTCACCCCCCCTAGAGTAACACTCACCTCCTTACAGTCACACTCACCTCCTTACAGTCACACTCACCTCCTTACAGTCGCACTCACCTCCTTACAGTCACACTCACCTCCTTACAGTCGCACATACCTCCTTACAGTCACACTCACCTCCTTACAGTCACACTCACCTCCTTACAGTCACACTCACCTCCTTACAGTCGCACACACCTCCTTACAGTCACACTCACCTCCTTACAGTCACACTCACCTCCTTACAGTCACACTCACCTCCTTACAGTCACACTCACCTCCTTACAGTCACACTCACCTCCTTACAGTCACACTCACCTCCTTCAGTCACACTCGCCTCCTTACAGTCACACTCACCTCCTTACAGTCGCACAAACCTCCTTACAGTCACACTCACCTCCTCACAGTCGCACTCACCTCCTTACAGTCACACTCACCTCCTTACAGTCGCACTCACCTCCTTACAGTCACACTCACCTCCTTACAGTCGCACACACCTCCTTACAGTTGCACAGACCTCCTTACAGTCACACTCACCTCCTTACAGTCGCACTCACCTCCTTACAGTCACACTCACCTCCTTACAGTCGCACACACCTCCTTACAGTTGCACAGACCTCCTTACAGTCACACTCACCTCCTTACAGTCACACTCACCTCCTTACAGTCACACTCACCTCCTTGCAAGCATTGTGGACGAGATCCAGATTGCGTTGCACATCCTTGACCTGCAGGTGGGGGGTATATTTGAATCACTCTTGAGAATAGCAACAAAATAACGGTGCCCAGGAAAAGAAAGAAAGAAATAAAAGAAAAGAAAAGGAAAGAATAAAAAACATTGTGAACGCAAAAATGTGGTCTGTATGCAAACCGGAAGAATGACAGGATTCCAAAGTAGATTTTTGAGACGTCTCAAAAATCTACTTTCTACACGTGATGTGTTTTTGCTTTTGCCTTGCGTGGCAAGCCAATATAGAAACTGCAGGTAGAGAGACAACTCTCGAGGGACCCCAATGGTGTGCTTTGGTTTTTGCCTTGTGTGTGTGACGAGCCCTAGCCAAGCCAAACCCCACCATACCATACCAGCACTTCTGAAGCCTGTTGGGGCACTCGCCGAACTGCCCGTCTCTCTACCACTTGCCAGCAAGCGCCTCGACCGAAGCACGTGATGAGAGTCGCAAAGAAGCAAATGCCATGTGGCACTCCCATCACCTGCTGGTCATACGACAGCTTGAACTCACACAGGCGCGACAAAGCAAACACCACATGGCACTCACCTCACCAGCCCTCCCCTCACCTGCTGGTCGTACGATAGCTTGAACTCAAAGACCTTCAGCTTGGCTTCCATACACAACCGGCCACCCGCCCTCCTCTCACCCGCCCTCCCCTCTCTCCTGCCCTCCCCTCTCTCCTGCCCTCCTCTCTCCTGCCCTCCCCTCACCTGCCCTCATCGCACCTGCCCTCCCCTCACCTGCTGGTCGTACGACAGCTTGAACTCAAAGATCTTCAGCTTGGCTTCGATACGCGGCGCTCGCAACATCTCCAGAAAGAATTGCTCGCACTTGCCCAGCTTCTCCGGGGGCATGCCACAGCCCTGGGAGGTGAGGATGGGAGGAATAGCAGGGGATAGGAGGGCACAATGGGAAGGGGAGGGAGGAAGGAGAGGCAGATAATTACGCTCTTAACATCTCCAGAAAGGACTGCTCGCACTTGCCCAGCTTCTCCGGAGGCATGCCACAGCCCTGGGAGGGATGAGAGGATAGGGGGGACAGGAGGGGATAAAAGAGGACAAAGGGAAGGAGATCGAGGAAGGAGAAGCAGATTACACGCAACAGCTCCAGAAAGAACTGCCTCGCAACCAGCTTGCCTCGCAACCAGCTTGCCTCACCCGTCGAACTCACTACCACCATCATACCTTTCCTTCCCTCCCCACCCAGCTGCCACGCATCTTGAGCATCTCCGATTTTTCCATGGCGGGGAGGAACTTGAGCAGAGCATCCACCTTCTCCCCGTCCAGCACTTTGCCCCCACACCTCCATGCCCTCATGCCCCCATACCCTCATTCTCCAGTCGCCTTTGTTTACTGAGCCACAACCAGCTCGCCTCACCCATCAAACTCACTTCCACCATCACACACAGACACACCTTCAGCATCTCCGCTTCTTCCTTGGCGGGGCAGAACTTGAGCAGAGCGTCCACCTTCTCCCCGTCCAGCACCTTGCTGTCCAGCGATAGAATGGCGTCCTGAGGGCGTGGATTGGAGTCAGGGGGGAGGAATGGAGGGAGAAAGATAAGAAAGTGAGCGAGTGCTGTTCAGGGCAGTGGCTCGAGCAGAGCATCCACCTTCTCCCCATACAGCACCTTGCTGTCCCTAGAATGGCGTCTTGAGTTGATAGCATGGACCAGAAAGGAGAGGGGCAAGAGAGTGAGTGAGTACTGTTCAGAGAGTGGGGGAGGAAGGGATAGGGGGGACAAGAGCAACAGCTTCAGCAAAGCATCAACCTCCTCCCCGTCCAACACCTTGCTATCCAGCGCTAGAATGGGGTCCTGAGGGGTCGCATCCTTACTGGGAGACATGGATTTGAAAGAATCTTGAGACCAGGTAGGAGTCGCATTGAGGCTTGGCGTCTGAACAATCCAGCTGTGGGGCGCGTGCTCAGTCGATTTTTGAGTCGACTCAGAAATCGGCTTGGCGTCTGAACAATCCAGCTGTGGGGCGTGCTCAGTCGATTTTTGAGTCGACTCAGAAATCGGCTTGGCGTCTGAACAATCCAGCTGTGGGGCGTGCTCAGTCGATTTTTGAGTCAACTCAGAAATCGGCTTGGCGTCTGAACAATCCAGCTATGGGGCGTGCTCAGCCGACGACAGTCAACAAAGAGAATGAGCTGTCGAAAAGAAGATTGGGAGACAAGTGGAGTTTGCAGCACAAGACTGACGGAGTCACGTGAGAGGCTGACTGAATGGTGGTGAGGACAGAGAAAGAAAAGGTGCAATCTGAGCGCGATCTTCGATCTTCAACTCACCACAATCTCCAAGTATTTGAGGCGCTTCATTAATGTGGAAAGCATGATTCCAGGAACTCCTCTTGCTGCAATTCGTTAGAAACTTTCTAGACAGCTCCGTACTGCAATTCCCCTACTTCAACTCAACTCACCACAATCTCAGAGTACTTGAGGTGCTTCATGTTGGAAAGCATAATCTGACAATTGTTGGCTCGCTTCATATCAATCTGAACCACAAGACAAAAAGGAAAAGGGATCGGGGAAAGCATAATGAGTCAGCTTGGAAAAATACCAGCTGTTCTGTTTGCACGCTTCATGTCGATCTGAACTACAGCCGGAATGGCGAAGGAACAAGAGTTGCGACGAAAGAGTTGTGTTAACTAAGAAAGAATCGACTGTCGGTAGCACCGGGCGCCCTTCATGTGGGTCTTTTGAGTCGACTCAAAAGTCAAAAGTCTTTTGAGTCGACTCAAAAGTCAGAAGTCTTTTGAGCTGACTCAAAAGTTAACTAAGAAGGAATCGACTGTGGGTAGCACCGGGCGCCCTTCATGTGGGACTGACTGAAGCACACAGCAGAGAAGACGACCACATAGGCGCAGAGAAGCAAATAGGGTGCTTACGGGACACGAGGCACAAGGCGCAGGGAGGCATGAGGCATGAGGAGGCACAAGGCATGGGGAGGCACGATGCAACTTACAAGAGTGAGTGCTTGCGGCTTGGCCTCCTTCTTGAGCCCCGTGTCTTTCTTCTTGGGGGGAGGAGGGATCGCTTATGAGAAATACCAGAAGAGGAAACTTACAAGAGTGAGTGCTTGCGGCTTGGCTTCCTTCTTGGGCCCTGTGTCTTTCTTCTTGGGGGGAGGGGCGGCAGAAAACAAATCCTCCAGCTCCGGGTATAGCGCCTCCAGGTCCAACCTGCACCAGATGCGGACAAAAAACGCCGATCAAATGCAGACAAATGAAACCGCCCAGACGCAGGGAATGGGTGGGTTGATGAGCACAGAGGGCGGAACAAGGTGCCAGAGCTGAACTAGTCATGAAATGTTACAGAAGCATGATAAAGTGCAGTGCGGTAAGATGCAGCGCGGTATGGTGCAGCGAGGTACGGTGCAGTGCGGTGAAGCTCTCAAGCAAACTGCGCAACAGGTCATCTTGGAAATGAATTGAAATCACTTCAACAAGGAGGGGTAAGCAGGGGGAGGGGGGACGGACGAGACGAGTGAATAAAGAGGGGGAAAGAAGCGAGGAAGAAAAGAGGAGAGGAGATTCACAGGAGGAAAGAGAGAGGAGGGAAGCACTCACTTGGGGGTAGCAGCCACCTGTTCCTCCTTCTGCACCTCCGCCCACATGTTCCCCTCCACCACTCGCGTCACCTTCTTTTGTTTTGAGATGCCTCAAGAAAGAGGAGGATAGAGAGAGGAGAGAAGAGAGAGGAGGGAAGAGAGAGGCGGAAAGAGAGAGGAGGGAGGAACGCACTTGGGGGTAGCAGCGACCTGCTCTTCCTTCTGCACCTCCGCCCACATGTTCCCCTCCACCACTCGCGTCACCTTCCCCCAGAAAAACGCCTTCAGGGGGGTCTTCTTCTTGGGGGGGGGTGCAGCAGCTGCAAACCCCCCCTTGAACCCCCCGGGGGGAGGGGGCCCCGGGGGACCCTTCCCCTTGAACCCGGGGGGAGGGGGCGGCCCCTTGAACCCGGGGGGAGGGGGGGGGCCCTTAAACCCTGGGGGAGGGGGGGGCCCCTTAAACCCTGGGGGAGGGGGGGGGCCTGGAGGGCCTTTTCCCCCTGGGGGCGGGGGAGGGGGAGGTGGTCCGCCCTTGCCCCCTGGGGGAGGGGGGGGCGGGGGGGGACCCTTCCCCCCCCCAGGGGGAGGGGGAGGGGGTGGGGGACCTCTGGGTCCGCCAGGAGGGGGAGGGGGAGGGGGAGGTCCTCTGGGCCCGCCAGGGGGGAGGGGGAGGCGGGGGAGGGCCCCCGCCTGGGGGGGGGGGGTGGGGGAGGAGGTGGGGGAGGTCCCCCACCTGGGGGAGGAGGTGGGGGGGGAGGTGGGGGAGGGCCCCCGCCTGGGGGAGGAGGTGGGGGCGGAGGTGGGGGAGGGCCCCTGCCCGGGGGAAGGGGAGGGGGAGGGGGAGGGGGAGGTCCCCCACCTGGGGGAGGAGGTGGGGGAGGAGGCGGGGGAGGGCCCCCACCCGGGGTAGGTGGGGGAGGAGGCGGAGGAGGCGGGGGGGCCCGGCCCCCTGCGGGAAGGGGAGGAGGGGGAGGAGGGGGAGGGCCCCCCCCTGGGGGAGGGGGTGGGGGAGGAGGTGGAGGAGGGGGCGGGGGAGGACCCCCACCTGGGGGAGGGGGTGGGGGAGGGGGTGGAGGGGGAGGGGGAGGAGCGCCTCCGCCTGGGGGAGGGGGTGGGGGAGGGGGAGGCGGAGGAGGCGGAGGAGGCGGAGGAGGTCCCCCTCCTGGGGGAGGAGGCGGGGGAGGGGGGGCTACTTTGGGACTGGGCGGATCTGGCTCAGCCATTTTTGCAGCTAATGCTGCCTTTCTAGCTGCCCTCTCCTCCTGCCTCCTCCTCTGCTCCTCCCTCCACCTCTCCTCCTCCCTCCTCTCCTCCTCCTCTTCCTCTAACCTCCTCCTCTCAGCCTCCATCCGCCTCTCTTCTGCCTTCCGCAGCTTCTCCTGTTTCTTCCGTTCTGCTGCAGCCTCAGCAGCAGCAGCAGCTGCGGCCGCAGCCTTTTCCTCTTCATCCTCCTCTTCCTTCTCCTCCTCCTTCTTCTCCTCCTCCTTCTCTTCCTTTTTCTCCTCTTTCTTCTCCTCTTCCTTCTCCTCCTCCTTCTCTTCCTTCTTTTCCTCCTCCTCTTCCTTCTTCTCCTCCTCCCCCTTCTCCAGCCCCTTCTGCCCCAGCAACCCCATCTCGGGCAACTTAAACCCCGGCACCCGCTTCGACATCCTCCTTAAAAGCTTCCCCAGAACAGGATTCAGCTCCGGATCCCACTCATTCCAATACAGCGAAGGACCATTCGCCAAATCCAACCAAAGCATCTTCAAATCACCGGCACTCGCCTTCTCTCTCCTGGTCAACCCCTCCTCCTCCGTATAAGTCTGCTCCGCAAACAACAACCCAGGCGGCAACACCATCTCCGACCCAATCTTCCTCCGCGCCTTCCCGCCCGGAAACCCAAACATCCCAAACCCTAAACCACTCCCAAACGGCCGAGACGGCGACGGGCTCCCATCCCTCGAATGCAACATGCTCGAAAACGTCGGAGAAGTATCAGCCGAGTCCAAATCCGATGCATAATCGCTATCATCCAGCATATCCCCTGCAAACCCCGCCCCTCCCGGGCCCCACTTCCCACCTGCCGGCACCCGGGTTCGAACCCGCAACCCTCCGCTGCGGCGGTTTCTCCTCTTGGTGCTGGCTGCGGAGTAGATGGTGTGGCGAATCTCTTCTAGGGCGCGCGAGCTGTCGTCCTGCGACCAATTGGAATCCTCGAAGGCCTCCTTGAGCTTGAGAAAGGAATCGAGGGGCAGTCCGCCGAAGTCGTCTGCAGCCAGAGAGGTGGCGGCAGGGGGAGGCGGCACCTTGGACTCCCGGTCTGTCAGAAGGATCTGGAGGGTGGGACAGGGGCGCGAGCAGCATTAAATACACATGCTGAAGGGAAATGGAGTGCCTAGAAATGCTGACGAAAGTGATTTTTGGAGTATCCCGCAACCCCTGAAGAACGCTCACCTCACCTCAACTCAGGCTAATGCCACAGCTCACCTCCACTCTGGAGTCCTGTGTGAAGCGCTCGCGCGTGTGCCAAAGAATATCGAGGTCGTCTCGGGAGAGCACGAGCATGTTGGATTGCACGTGGGCCGTGTTGAACGCCACTCGCCACACCATCTGCTCGCTGCCTCCCAGAAGTGACCTCTGCGTCGCCTCAAATAAAAACTCACCTTCCCTGACCTGACCTGACCTGGCCTGACGTCTTGCGTGCTGCACCCACCTCAGCCCTGAACAGAATTTTCACCTCAATCCTCTGAAAAAAAACTCACTGCCTGTGTGAAAACACTCACCTCCACTCTGAAGTCCTGCGTAAACCGCTCCCTTGTGTGCCAGAGGATGTCGAGGTCGTCTCGGGAGAGCACGAGCATGTTGGATCGCACGTGGGCCGTGTTGAACGCCACTCACTCGCCACACCATCTGCTCGCTACCATTTCCCACAAACCTCGTCTCCACTCTCTGATGTCTTGCATGCCGCCGCACCGCACCCACCCCAACCCTAACAGAAATCTAATAACAGAAACCTCATGTATCAACCCTACACAAGAACTCACCTCCACTCTGAAGTCCTGCGTAAACCGCTCCCGTGTGTGCCAGAGGATATCGAGGTCGTCTCGGGAGAGCACGAGCATGTTGGATCGCACGTGGGCCGTGTTGAACGCCACTCGCCACACCATCTGCTCGCTGCCCGCCCCCTCCATGTCCACATGCACGCACTCCATCACCACGTCCCCCTGCACCACCGCCATCACATCCATCTTCACCACCTCCGCCTCTCTCTGGTTGTTGGGGTGTGGGAGAGAACGGGAAAGGACGGCACGGGAAAGGAGGTTCGGAAAGGAAGGGGCGTGTGAGTCAAGCTGTCCACATGCACGCACTCCATCACCACGGAGAAAGGTGGAGAGAAGGGGAAAGGAGGGGTAACGTGTGGGAAAGAGGGGGGTGTGAGTCAAACTACATGCAAGCACTCCATCACCACGTCGCCCTGCACCACCGCCATGACGTCCATCTTCACCACCTCCGCTTCCCTCTGGTTGGAAGGAAAGGGTAGAACGGGAAAACAGCAGGCTTGGATCGGTTCCTGGATCACGGCCAAACCTGCTGTTCTCCAGCAGGCCTGGATCATGGCCAAACGCTCTAAGTAGAGGGTAACACCGGTCCCTCGCAGTCGCCGCTGCAACTGTGATAAAGACTAGCACCGGTGCAACTGTGCTGATCGGCGCCTCACCTGCAGGTAGTATTTGGCTCGGTTCACGCCGTGCCTCGCGCTCAGGAAAAGAAGCCCCGAGTCTCGGTTCTCCGGCAGACCAGGATCGCGCCCAAACACTCTAATCACAGGGCAGCAGCACCCGCCCCTCGCATCCCTATTCAACCCAACCAACCCCTTGCCTCACCTGCAGGTAGTATTTGGCTCGGTTCACCCCATGCCTCGCGCTCAGGAACAGCAGCCCTGAGTCTCGGTTCTCTGGCAGGCCCGGATCGCGCCCAAACACCCTAATCACAGGGCAGCACCCGCCCCTCGCGTCCAGCTGTGGCACACCGCGCATAATCACACAGTCTAGAGTCACCATCCGGCTGCTGCTCGCTCCCAGACACCCCTCTCTAGAAGACGGTACCAGCACCTGGCTCCCCCACTCGCTGCCCTCCTCCTCCGCCCCCGCTTTTCCCTTCCCCTTCCCCTTCTTGTCCTTGCTTTCCCTCTCAATAAACCCGTGGGGTAAAGAGCTGACGCAGTGGGCTATGTACTGTAGATATCTCGCCTGGGAGGGGACAGGGTTTAAGGGGTAATGCAGCTGCAGGAAACCCCTAGGAGCCGCTTTGTAGATGCCCAGTAAGAGATCCCGCTCCTCCTCGCCATTCCATTCCTTGTGGAAGACTAAGAACGAGGCGATCATAAACGCCAAGAGAGGCCACCCGCCACGCTCGCAGTGCAAGAGGACAATGTTTTTCCGCCGCCCGTTGCCACCCGCTGAACCCAACCCTAATTGCTGCTGCTGCTTTGCTGGTGTTCCCCCATCAGCCTCCTCCAAAAGCTTTTTCTCCTGCTTTGACTTGCGGCCGGGCAGGTCAAAATCCTGCTGCAGCCAGCTATTGGTGGACTGGAGGAAATGTTCGATCAGATCGAGAGAAAGAATCGGGCAGCCCTCGAAATGTCTAGGGTACTCAAGCACTGTGGCATCAGAATTTAGAAAATAGGATCCGGCGAAGAGCGTTCGGCTGGAGCCGCTGCTGCCGTCGCGGAAATTACAGATCAGGATGGATGCGTCAGAGATTTGATTGCGGAGATCTGTGCATATCTGGCGGAAGTAGAGGCGGTAGGTGGCTGTGGTCGGCACGTCGTTGGCAATGCAGGAATCAAACACTGCGTGGGGGAGGGAGGGAGGGGTGGGGGAGGGGTGAGGAGCAGGGGAGAGGTGAGGAGCAGGGGAGAGGTGAGGAGCAGGGGAGAGGTGAGGAGCAGGGGAGAGGTGAGGAGCAGGGGAGAGGTGAGGAGCAGGGGAGAGGTGAGGAGCAGGGGAGAGGTGAGGAGCAGGAGAGAGGTGAGGAGCAGGGGAGAGGTGAGGAGCAGGGGAGAGGTGAGGAGCAGGGGAGAGGTGAGGAGCAGGGGAGAGGTGAGGAGCAGGGGAGAGGTGAGGAGCAGGGGAGAGGTGAGGAGCAGGGGAGAGGTGAGGAGCAGGGGAGAGGTGAGGAGCAGGAAGCGGGAAGGGTCAGGGGACGGAGGGAAAAAGGGTTGGGCGGGATCACGAGACGGAAGGAGAAAGGGTAGGAGGAGAGATCAAAGGACGAAGAGAACAAGATGTGGGAGGCCGGACCCGGGAGGCGGGAAGGAGGGAGGGAATAAGGGACTGAGGGGACGGGAGGTAGGTAAGGGATGGGGAGATAGAAGAGACAAGACTGCTGGAAGTGAAAAAACGATGGAGGGAGAGAGTTGAAGAGGACGCAGAGGAAGGGAGATACGGAAGGGCGGGAGGTGGAGGGGAGAACACGTAGTGCGTTTTGAGAGGAAAAACAAGGACCCGGGTGACTAATGAATCGACTGGAAAAAAAGAACTGGAGTGATGCCTGAAGGGACTCACGAACTACCTAAAAGGAGGGTCCGAGGGAAGAGGAGGAGAGGTGGAGGGGAGGGTGGTTTGAACTGGAAACGGGAAGTTGAGACTAAGAAAAAGAGGAATTAAGGGTCACTCGGTCATATGCAGGTACGCGTCTCTACATCCAGAGACGAATACTCCAAATGGCGAGTGAGGGTGCGAAGCGATGCGAGGCAAGGGAAAAGGAGGAGGGAAAAGGAAGCAGACAGCGAATCTGGATCGCTCCATCATGGCCGTTGAACAGGAAATATTACATCCTACTACCAATCCTCAGCAGCAAAATTCCACGTACAGCTGTCACACACGAAACTCACGCGGATTGAAACCTAAGGTAACCCTAAAACGCACCAAACATGCGATCGCTGATCTGCAGCAGTCCGTCCGGAGGCGGCGGCGGCGGAGGCTTGGATGTTTTTTTCCCTCCGAACCACGGCATGGTGGCAATATACGGTCGGTATTTCAGTTAGTAGAGGTAGCAGCGGTGGTGGGGGTGGTGGTGGTGGGGAGCTTAGTGACTTCCAGTCACGAAAACTGGCGACCAGAATTTTGTCAGTAACGTTAGCTGGTGTTACAGCCCGTGTCAGGACCAGGTGTACATGATAGTCGTTCTAGGTAACATAACGAACGAAGCGGATCGAAAAGAAGGACCTAGAATGTGGTTTTCGCGAAGGACAATGCGGTTTGTGCGGGTTGCGCTCTTGTCATGCATCGCGCTACGTGGCCATTAAAAAAATCAATGGGCTAATAAGCTAAGTTTTCCTCATGCAACTATGTGGGAGCATCGCTGTCAAGGCTCGGTCCTTGTGGCATATGGGACTCAGGGACAATTGAGGCTAACGAGCCTCGCATCGCGGCTTGCGAAAGCAAGGCAGTCTGCCAGCTGTTTCACCACTAATGCTCGCGGTTCCAGCCTGTTGCTAGAAATGCCTGTGAGACAACCTCGATGTGGATTGTTTGTCACGTCATTGATTACTCCGCCAGGACCCACGCTGACTCAATGGAGGGAGTCTTCCCTACCCACCCCACCCCAAGCTTCTGCCTGAATGCAACGGACTTATCGCGGAAAGTTTTGGGGCACTTTGGTACACTCCAGAAATGGGCATGACAGCCTCAAGCGCGGGAACCTCTCCACCTGGTTTGTAAACCAGCTTGTGGTTACTTAGATTTCATAAGTGTCTTCCGTTTCTGGGTCAACTTAGTGGTTGGGAAACGATAACGTGAACTGCCAGTCTGTAATTCGAGGCTTCCTGACACGATCAGAACACGCCCTGCATTTCAACCACACTAGTTTTTGTCCCTGACTGAACATTCGCGACTCCGACGACTACAGCGGGTCAGAGTTTGTACGCGCTCCATTCATGTACAGCATCATTCAACAACCGAACAAGAATGGACGAACCCCCTTACAAAACATGATATATTCCCACTATTTTGTGAAAAACGAGAACTTTGACTTGGTTAGCCTCTCTAAATCCAACTATGAATACTAGACAACCATTCCACACAGTAACATCTCAGTGGCACGCACCGCAACAGCATCCCCCTATCTTCACATCCAGCTGATGATTAGTCAGAAGCGCTTGACCTGATCAGCACCTTACACAGTCCAGCCAAAGATCCAGCAGATAAGTGCAGAGCAATTTGGCAGCGGCTGGGGCTCAATGATCTCAATCGGCTCCTGAAATAAAGAACGTTTGCAGCACAAGTCAGGGAGTTGGGGTGAGCTGTGGAATTTGACATGTTGCACAGCAGAGATGCATTGTCAGTGCTACCAAGAAATAGCAGGAACCAATGGAATGGGAGCAGCAAAGCATCACAATGAAAGGGAAGGTGGGTAGCAACCATAATGAAAAGGTTGGGAGTGAAAAGGTACCGTATGTTGGTATATTTTCACCATACCTGGGGGGAGGCGACAGGTTTCTCTGCCTGCACACCGTTCCGATCCTTCTCCTCTACTGGCTTCTCAGCCTCACTTCCTGAGCTCGACCGCGATTCTGATACCACAGCCTTCGTTTCTTCTTCAACCCCCACAGATGACGATGACCCAGCAGCGGCAGCCACAGGTGCAGCCGTGCCAGCAGAACCCTGCTTCTCTGCACCACCACCAGCCCCTTCCCTTGTATCTTCTGCACCACTGTTGCTTGTTGTGACTGCAACCTTGGCCTCTGATTCTGGTTGATTCTCTTCCACTACAGGCGGTGCCGCCTCAACGGCTGCTGGTTCAAAAATAGGTGTAGGCGCTGTTATAGGTGCAGCAGGCGTTGGTTCAGGTGCTACTGGCGCAGGCTCAGATGATACCGGTGTGGCCTCTGGAGCAGGTTCAGGGGCTGCAGGCACAGGCTCAGGTGCTTTAGGAGCAGGCTCAGGGGCTGCTGGTGCAGGTGCAGGCTCAGGGGCTGCTGGTGCAGGTTCAGGTGCTTCAGGTGCAGGTTCGGGGGCTGCTGGTGCAGGCTCTGGTGAAGGCTCAGGGACTGATGCGGGAGCAACAGAGACGGCAGCCGCAGCGACTACTGCTGCTGCAGCTGCCAGCATGACTTCCCCTCCCTCCTTGGGCTGAGACGCAGCTGAGGCTGACGAATCAGCATCTGCTGAGGCTTGTGGTGTGGCAGCTACGGGAGCTGCTGGGAAGGGAGGGAAAGAGCACAAGCAGAAGAGCACAAACACAAGAGGCAAAACTAAAATTCAAGAAAGACATTATTCAGTTCGCGATTAACAACCCCAGTTACGCCACAGACAGTGCATTATGGACCTTACACCATGAACAATACTGCACGAACAGGAAAAAACACAGCACGCCAAATAGTACAGCGTGATCAGCAGGTTGTTAAACTTAGGGCTCCCCAGCTGGCGACTAGACTTTGTCAAAACAGCTTTATTTAAATAGAGGATCTCACGGCGGGTTCCTTCATTTCGACCCTTGCATGGCCCAGCTAGGAGGAAAATACAGCTGCTCGTTATGTATTCTCGCAACAGTTTACGTCGATGAATTCGCGTTTCATTCTGTTACTTACGACTGAAATGCTGAGCAACCATGAAAACTGCAGCACAACGGCACCAATATTTGCTTACCATGGCGTACACACGATTCCATTACCTTGCACCCCGACGGATTCAGAGGATGCCTTTTTCTTGTTCTTCTTCTTCCCTCCCCCTCCTCCTCCGCCAGCACCCCCATTCGACGCAGCATTTGCCTGAGTCGACTGTTCTGTCGCGGTCGCCTGAGTCGCCTGAACGACCGTTTGTGGTTCTTCTGGTTTCACGTCGCCTGGGACGGGAAAGTCATGCGACATCAAGGAATAGCGAATTTATCCCGCGAAAACACAGATCCGTTTCTATTCTTGCCAGATCCGCGAGTAGAAACGATTCGGATGGAAGGAAGATGCAAGAACAGATGATGCAGAGAGCCTCTGAGCTGACCTTTGGTGGAGATCGCATCCGATGCCGTCGCAGGAGTCGCTGGGGTCGCAGGTGTCGCAGGAGTGGTCGGAGTCTCGGGCGTATCTTTTGAGGCCGCCGTGGACGACGTTTTCTCTGCAGCTGAAGCATAGACGCGGGTATGAAAAGTACACGTACTAGATTGCGTCGCGGATCTAGAATATCGTGAAATTTATCAGAATGGACATTGATGAGTACAAGAGCTAGCAAGTGGAGAATTCGTACCAGTGTTCACTGTCGGCTTGTTCTTGTTCTTCTTATTCTTCTTTGACGGCATTTTGACTCAATGTAGGAAAATAAATGTGAATACCCCGCTGCAAACTTCCTGATCGCTAGGAAATACGGTAGTATAAAAAGGCGGCTGGTTACGCGAGGAGGACAAGATCCGAGGTGGGCTCAACCTATCCAACAATGGACAAGGGAAAAGCAAGTTGAATAAACGCTCTCTTTTGCTGCTTCGGTTCAATCTGAACTAGCAGGAGAGGGAACACGAGATTCTGCAGCAGCAAGCAAACACAAGGCTGACAAGACATCAACCTGGGAGAGGCGATTATGATGATGTTCTGATGATGCATGGATGTCACGAGCCCATTACAGCATAGCACGGTTCAGTAAGATGCTTTGAGTAACAGAGCGGTTGTTGGAGATTCCAAGGGCTGGGCACGCATGAAACCTGATTTACACAAAAAGCTTGACAGTTCACCTGACAGGTGGTGTACTCCCCCAATCCAATTGGACCCATCTTTCTCGCCCCATCTTCAGGGACGTCACTTCTCTGCTGAATGGACAGCTCGATCGAACGGCCAGCGGCACCTGTCAGCAAGTTTCAGCTCCCGCATTCCTCCAGTCAATTCTGCTATGGGCACGTGCCATTGCCAACAAATCTGCTGGTGCCAGGGAGACTAAACTTCACATATGAATCTTGGTTTAATTGGAAAAGATAGGTCTGCTCATCAATCCAGTCCATCATGCATGCACTTTTTTCAGGATATATATTTATATCAATCGGATACTGACTAGCTCACGTACTATGCACACATATCTACATGTATACAATACTCAGCCTGGTTATGGAATACGCACGCAATGGTTTTTTCCAGCTTCAAGGCTCAACCTGCTTCTGAAGTAATTTCACCTTTTTTCACTTCCAACATGGAGCATGCCCGAGGAGTCTTCCAGGATAACAAGCGGGCTGTAACTTTTCTCGTCACCAAACGCATGAAGCCGCACAAGCTCTCTTGAGGAGGTCGCACCCCACTTGTCGTCTTGGCCAATAAGGTCACGGGCACCATAAGTAGCACCCATTTCACGAAACCATTCATCAAGCACAGTTCTTCCTTCCATGCCTCCAACTGAAGTATCCCTTTGAGCCCGATAAGCAATCTCTGAGAGCTCCGGAACCCGCCGATCCAAATCGTTACTGCAAAACTCGTCTGCTTGCTTTTCCTGCCGCCTCTGAACCCTGTCACTCATCACCACCTGGATCACCCCTGTCTCATCCTCCGCAATCACCAACCCCTCCCTGCCAGCTGAAGGAGAAACACTTCCTCGACCGTGATTGGCCAAAGCCAAGGAGATTCGATCACACGAGTCCTTGGCTGAAGCGCATCCTCGTGCTGCAGATCGCATAGGCGACGCAGTCAAAGCTGGAGCTTTTAAAGGAGGGAGCGTGCAAGGAGAGAAGCCGAAAAAGCAGCACCGTTTATCTTGGGCCACCTCATCTGTGGTCAGATCCGACGGTCCCATTGCGTTTGGAGGTGGGAAGAGGGGAGCCAAGGATTCCAGATCCCGCAGATTCTGCCATGTTACTGACCCCAATCTGGGCAGAGCAGCAGGATCTCCGTTTGGACATGCTGCCTCAATCGGAGCTGCTTGTAACGGGCCCAGATCACATGTGTCAAACATGTTGCTCGCGCTAGCCCAATCCGCAGCTGTCAGCAGCCCCCTATGATCCAAAGGCTCGGACAGAGTCTTCGGAAACGTATCAAGATCTTTGCGTGGCAGCAGAACCCCATGGCTCTTCATAGTCAGGCTGACTTCAGAATCTTGGAATTCTTGACACCCTTCGATATCTGCATGTGACATGTCATCATCAGCAGCCTCGTTGACCAACGTTGACCGCTTTCGTTTACCCTTCGCCAAGCCCGTGTGCAGCTCTCCCGCTTCCCGCTCGGCCTCCTCCGCAGCTGCTCCTGGTGATGGCGGGATGAAACTGCTGGATGATGCCGTCCCGAGCGAAACGGGAGTCCGCGGGGAAACCGGCGTGGAAGGCGTTGGGGACAGCTGCGGAGACAGTGGGGCGGACAGTGGCGGGGACAGCGGCGGTGGCGAGCTGGGCGTGGTGGGTGTGAGCGGGCACGAGTTGTCACACCTCTCGCCATCTTCCTTCGCCAAGCCACTGCGAATCAGAGACAGGTGGAGTGTGGTCGCATGGTGCTGCCTCTTCTCAGAGCATGGAAGCTGCTGCAGCTGTGCACGCGGGAGCGGGAACATGTGACCTGTGATTGCAAGCTGCTTCTGCATACTACTAGCAGTAGCAGAGAGATTGGCGCGCTCTGTAGGGAATATGGGATTCATTAACAGAGACTCGTTCGCGGAGGGGGTGCGAGAGGCAGGCTGCGCGTGGTTGTGCTTGCCGGAGTGAGTGATACGTGGCGCGACGTCAGAGGCGCCAGGCTGGCCGAACTGCGTGTGCACGTCTACCACTCGGCGCGCAGGGCAGCGGCGCCCGTTGTCGGAGTGGCTGCAGCGGAAATAATGCCTGTAGAGAACAATGACAACAGGGAATAGTAAGATGGGAAAAACATATTACTAGGCCGTGGTCACCGTCATAATCGACATTTCTACACATCGGCACAACAACCAGTGCGTCACCAGAGATGGACGGATCTAAGAACTAGCGGAGAAGCACACCATTCGACAACATTGTTTTGGCATGAAAAAAAAAAAAGGAGAATAAACGAATTGATAAAAAAAACAAGATGAGGAAGAGGAACAAGAAATAATAAGAACAAAAACGGTTGAGGAGGGCATGTATAAGGACTGACCGTGAGAAGCGGCTGCCTGAGATGTCCTTCTGGCCGTACTTGAGCCACTCGTGCCCATCGTGGGGAATGCAGTGCTTGAACTCGCGCAGCCTCGCGCGCTTGCTCGGCGGACTCGACGGCTTCCAGCTGCGGTAAGCGGAAAGAAAGGGGGAATGGGGAAGGGGGGAAAGGCAGAACGACCGGAGATGAGAATGATAGAACACAATCGCTTGAGCATTGTCAGAACAATCAATGGCGGGATTCTGGAGCAATGTGGGACGGCGGCGGCTCTAGTAAGCTCGATTCAAATCAAGCGATGCCGCCACCACTAGTAAGACTCACTTGATGTCGAAATCTTGCAGCAGCAGCGGCACCAGGATCTGGCTTGCTGGAAGCATCATTGTGACGCTGAATGCAGTCTCCGTCTGTCGAGATGTGAAGCTGGTGTAGTGCTAGTCAAGGAGTTCAACGCACGCTGATAGAAGGCAGATGGAATGCTGGTATAGTGCTGGTAGTTTTCCGCAATGGATGCTGATAAGTTGAAGTTGTAGCGTCTATGTTCAGGGTCGCAATGGGATCTGCAGGTAATATACAAGAAAGTTCGGCTATGCTAACCCACTCCTTTGGTAATGTGGCCGACGAGGGGAGGACAGAAGTGACAGAAACGTTTCCGCACGTAACGCGCTCCGCCAGCAGCCATACTTAGCAGCTGACAATCAGCTGCAGCGTCCTTGTATAGTAGCTCTTGCAAGCAGTGGGATGCACAACTCGGTTCTTGAGGAATATAAACCGGTAACATCAGAGATAGTGTCCAAACGGCAAATATTTGATTGTCTCTCGTTGCATGATAAGATTTATGGCTGCAAGCTAGCAGGCACTTGCCAGATCCACCACCTGTTGCTTGGGGGAATGCTGTAGGACCATACCATTCAAAGCTTCCTAGGGTTTCCAACGATCCTCTCTGGATCTGCGCGTGATTACACACTACTGCGGGCGGGACGAGGACTGAGGATAATCATAACAGTAGGTTGAAGAATTGCGGTATGATGGAAATATGTTGCGCTGCAAAACGGTGTCTCTAGAAAGTAGGAGTTGTTGAGTAGGGTTCCCGTTCACACCATCCTCCATTCGTGCTGCTCATTTAAGATCGGACTCCAAAGGTTCTGTATGGTGATTGGAGATCCATAACGGTTTTGTTAAGAATTGTAACTGTGCTGTATGAATAAACTACGAGAGCATTTTGTTGTGACTGTTGGCGCAATTGCAGCAGCTATTGCGTTACGAGCAGGGCCCATTTTTGCAGGGTGTTTTCGAATGGAGTGGTGGGGAACGCCCAAAAGCTTTACAGCGTCAGTCAGTGCATCCAAACGTTATTATCTGTACCGTTGAAATAATGATTTCCACCGCGCTCGGCCTCTCTCTGAGCTTGTAGCCACAGATATGACCCTCACTGTTCGAGAGCTCGAACTGAACTCGGTCCTAGAATCCCTCAGGCTGTCACGACTGGCAGGCAACACCGCAGCAAAAGGAAAAGATGGGCTACCAAGCCAAGCACACGTGAGAGTGACAGGTTGGCGGGGAGCAGACCTGACCTCTAGGGTGCCCACAGTATCAATAACGCGTACATCTATCACAAATTCCGTGCTGAAAGCTATTATATACAGCTCGTTTCAACCCCAAAGAAATAATTCACAACCATTTCTAAATCAAGTTTGCTTGGGAATTCTATTACTGCTTTATTACTAAGAGCAACTACCATTCTTACCATTAAATAATAGGGGCCACATACTTCGGCGCAAGCTTTCTACAACCTGCACAGTGCAAATCGGGTAAAATTAGCAAAATGGCAATACTGAAATAGAGAAGCTTATGCATACTTTCATACTCAGTCAGTACCTGAATGTTTTTGTTCCTCCATTTCGCCAAGGCGTCCGCGGCCAGTCTCTCAGCGGGATCTCGGGAGAAGTGTGGAGTGAGCGACATTTCGGCAGCATCACTTGCTTCCGCAATCCACACCCCTTCCTCTCCGTGGAAACAACCGAGTCTTCGTATAAGATTCCGCCAGGATACCTTCAGATGCAGAAAAATGACAGGTGAGGTTGAGGAGGGGGGAGGGGGGAGCGGTGGTTTTGGAGTTAGAACGGAAAGCGGCAGGGGGGAAAGGGGGAGGGGCGGGTTGAAGGGGTTGAGGGGGGGGGGGGGGGGAAGGGGGGCAACAGATAATAAGTGGTCGCCAGGGAGGGAAGGGCGGGAGGCAATGCGGACAAAACAGGAAAATGGGCACAGTGCCAGGGTGGGTGAGCAGGCAAGATAGAGCAAAAGGGAGGGGTAAATCAGGAGCATCTCACCAGCTTTACAAGCATATAGAAAGGAACATAATAAGAAACAACAAAAAACATAACCAGACACTCACGGCATTCCAACTGCAATCACACTCACTATGGAACCTGTGAGAGACGGATCGAGTGGCACAAACGCCCTCTCCCCAGCCAACAACTGCACAGCCACCACTGTGGCCGTGCCATCCTCCCTGCCTGCCACTACTGCCCCGCCATCCCCCCTGCCTGCCACTGCTGCACCACCATTCTGTCCTCCCATCCCCCGCATCACCACACTCAGTGGTGCCTCCGCTCCCGCTCCTGCCCGTGCCTGCGCTCCTGCTGCCACTGCTGCTGGCGCTCTCACTGCAGTCGGAACTATCAGTGAAGATTCACCCCCTCCTCCTGGCCGCGATCCATCAGCCGGCCTCCTATTGGAGCCTCCCCATCCTTCTCCTCCCCCATTCGACATGGCTGCTCCGTTCTCTCCACCTCCTGACAACCCAACAACCCCACCCTGACCATGAACAGAATACAAATGCCTGCCTCTGCCACCGCCATTGCCACTGCCACTTCTGACGTCGCTGCCTCTGCCCGTTCTTCCCCAAAGGCTAATCCCACCCCTCATTCCGACCCTCCCGCCTGCACCAATCCTCCCTCGCCCGACCAGTCCGGGCCTCCCCCGAGCCTGATGCATAGGTTGGGGTATGACCGATGAGGAGGGTGATTTCGATGGAGTTTCTGCTGCTGGGATTGGTGGTGGTAGCAGTGCGGGTGGTGTGTTTTCTCCAGTCAAGCATGCTACACTCGGAGCTGACACTGACTCTCTATCGGGTGTTCCTGTGCCCCGTCCCCCAACACCTCTCCCCACCATACCTCTCCCCGACACACCCTTTCTCCCAACATCCCCGTTATTCTCACAGCGCTCTCTCTCCCCCGAGCCATCGAGCAGCAGCAGCCACTGCCCCATCTGCCACGCCCCCACGGCACGCGGCTGCCCCACGGCCAGCACCAGTGCCACCACGTCCACCTCCCTGCCCGGGGGAGTGGCAGGCATCGAGGCGAGAGGGGTCCACTGACGAGGGGGGAAGGAGAAGCTACAGGCGGGTGGGGGGAATGCAGGGACAGGAGAGGAACAATAGGATAGTATGAGAAGCAGAAGCAGGAGCAGCAGCAGCCACTACCGCTTCTGCCACGCCCCCACGGCACGCGGCTGCCCCACGGCCAGCACCAGTGCCACCACGTCCAGTTCTCTGCCCGGGGGAGTGGCCGGCAGTGAGGGGAGGGGGCTAAAGCGCCGAGGAGGGGAGGCGAAGCTGTGGGTGGATGGGGAAGGCAATTTGGGAAAATAAAAGAGAGGAAAAGTGAGATGTTGAGCCGCAGCAACAGCGGCAACAGCAGCAGCAACAGCCACTGCCCCTTCTGCCACTTTGTAGACAGTGGAGAGGAGACGGGAGTTAACGACCCGGGAGTCAGAAACTGACTGACCTGAGGCTCCTTTCAACAGTGGGTGGTTCTATTCGATGCCACTTGGTAGACCGCAGAGAGGAGAGGGGAAACTCCAGACTCAAGACTCGTAGCACTGACTGACCTGAGGCTCCTGAGTCGACTCAAAAGTCACCTCGTTTCCATGGCACACGACACAGACTCGTAGCACTGACTGACCTGAGGCTCCTCTGAACGGTGGATGGTTCAAGTCGGCGCCACCTGGTTGACCGGTTGGCGTTGAGGGAGAGCAGCGGACCAATTGCATCACGCCGCGTGGCGGACGGCTGAAGGCCCGCCACCAGATACACTCCTCCTTCCACCAGCTCTTGCAGCTGAGAGAGGAGGAGGAGAGTGGGGGAAGGGGAGGTGGGAAAGGGAGGGTGCGAAGGCAGGAAAGAAGCAAGGAGAGAAGAGGGAACAAGGAGATGTGTCAGGATACGTGACAGACGGCTGAGGGCCCACCACCAAGTACACCCCACCCTCCACCAGCTCCTGCAGCATCTGAGGGGAAGGGGAGGGGAGTGTGGGGAACGGAGGGAGGGGAGGGAAGGGAGGGAGGGGAGAGAAGCGAGGAACGAAGCAATGCCATGCAAACCTATGTCAAGGCATGCCATGCTATACAAAGCCATGCCACGCAATACCCAACCATGCCATGCCATCATTTCCCTGCCATAACATGCTCTGCCATGCCATGCCATGCCATGCCTCATGCCATTCCATGCCATGCCATGCAGTGCTCCATGCCAAGCCAAACCATGCCATGCCATGCCCCATGCCATCCCCCATGCCATGCCATGCCCTCACCTGCTCGTCACTGGGCCGCCAAATGCTGATCATCCCTTCCCCTTGCCGCACCCTCTTGCTCCACTCCCCCTCCTCGTCATCTCCCGTCCCCTCCTCCCTCTCCTCTCTGGATCGCTTCCCAGTGAGTCCCACCACCCGCACTTTCACCACCGGACACACGTCCCGCTCCTTCAACCCTTCATCTGCCAGTGCGTCATCTACCGCCTCCTGCACTGCTGCCCTCCGCTTCTCCTGACAGGTGGCAAGGATGAGAGCAGGAGGGGAGGCACAGAGCACGGAAATGAGGACAAAAGAGGGACACACGTCCCCTCAGCTGCCAGTGTGCTACCCACTGCCTCCTCCTGTAATGCTGCCCTCTGCTTCTTCTGTGGCAGTGATTGTGTGGATGAGAGGACGAAGGGGGAAGCACAGAGCAGGAACATGAGGGCAAGAGCGCAACACACTCCAGCAGCAGTATTAAACATACAGCCACCCCTCTCCACTCACCACTCGCTGCAGCTGAGCCCTTTCTATGGCAGCACGTTGCATCGATACAATACACGATCACAATACTCTAGGCACCGCAACCAAAGGCTAACCACTCCCCTCTCTCCACTCACCACTCGCTGCAGCTGAGCTCGTTCCTTGGCAGCACGTTGCTCCACAGTCAGCCCACACACAACCGAATCTGGATCCCCACTAGCATCATACTCCAACAGCAAACGACCTCCCTCCCTCTCACTTCCCCAACCTCGATATTCAACTCACCACTCTCTGCAGCTGAGCTCGTTCCATGGCAGCACGTTTCTCAGTAGACAGCCCACACACAAACGACTCAGGATTTCCGCTACCATCATACTCCAGCAACAGACGACTCACCTCCTGCTCGCTTCCCCAATCTCAACACACAACCACCCACCCCTCCCTCTCCACTCACCACTCTCTGCAGCTGAGCTCGTTCCATGGTAGCACGTTGCTCTGCAGTCAGCCCACCCAAGAACGACTCCGGGTCACCACTAGCATCAAACTCCAACAACAAACGACCCCCTTCCCTCTCCGCCCTTGCCAGCCCTCCCCTTCCCCGCCCCAGGGAAAACCCAGCAGAGGCTCGCCCTCGCCCCATCCCCATCCTCCCCGCCCCTGCTCTCCCCATTCCCTCGCCCCGTCCACCAACTCCTCTTCCACCTGCTCTGCCTCCTCCTCTCCCTCTGCCACCTCTGCCTGCTGCTTCTGCTGCCTCTTCCGCCATGAGCTCTTTTTCGGCTTCCAGACTCGCCTTCTCGGCCACTTGCTCCCTCCTGGTGGTAAGGGAACGGGTACAGACGGTGAAGGGAGAGGGAATTGAGAGGGACAGAGAGCGATAGAACAAAACGGTGAAGGGAGAGGGGGGTTGAACAGGGAGAAGGGGCAATGAGGAGGAGAGGGAAAAGGAGTAGAAAAGAGAAAAGCTGATTTCTCAGTATTGAAACCCCCACCTCTTCTCAAAGTCGCGGGCTGCCACTTTTTCAGCCCTAGCAGAGCGCATCGTACCCCAGGCACAGCAGCATCAGCTAGCCTTGTGGTGTTCTTCTCCCAGAAGAGTGATAGACCTGAGCGACAAAGAGTGCAAGATTTCTCACCTCTTTTCAAAGTCGCGGGCTGCCACTGCTTCAGCCCTAGCAGAGCGCATCGTACCACCGGGCACAGGAGCAGCAGCAGCAGCACCACCATCAGCTGCCCTTGCAGTGTTCTTCTCCCAGTACATCGCAGGATAGACCCGTGCAATGGTTACACACGTGAGAGGGATCGGGCCCCCATCGTCTCTCACCCTGCGTAGTGCCATTGGTACGGGCGGCTTCTGTCGGCCTGTTGTGGGGGAGGGCACAGGCTACTTTTGAGTAGACAAAAGCCATAACATCGCAGGATAGACCCGCGCAATGGCCACACACGTGAGGGGGATCGGGCCCCCGTCGTCCCTCACCCTGCGCAGTGCCATTGGGACGGGCGGCTTCTGTCGGCCTGTGGTAGGAAGGGAGAGAGCAGAGCACAGGGATGCGGGACCGGCGATGAGAGTTGAGCAGGGAAAGGGAGGAGTGAAGAGGAGAGGAGACGGATTTCTGGCTGGCTGACGGATTCGGATGGTTGGCATCCAAGCGGATTCGAGACTTGAGCAGGAGCATTCCTCCCTTCCCTTGTGTGATGCTTATTTGCTGGCATTTGTTGCAGGGGCGTGTGGCAGATGAGCTAGGATGGTAAAAAACCCCTTGCTTCAGAGAATTCTCGAGAAAAAAAAATGTGCGGGCCTGGGGCACATACAGAAGCCGAGCTTGGAGGACCAATGCGTCGCGACGGGAAGGTGATTATGGGAATTCCCAACGACACTTTGTTTGTGGGGGAGTGGGGCACGTACAGAAGCCGAGCTTGGAGGACCAGTGAGCTGGGAAGGTGCCGTTGAAATGAAGGGCGAGCGTTGCTGCCGTGCATGCCTGCAGCGGTTGAGGTGAAAGAGGAGGGAGACGAGGCTCCAAAATTATGAGAGGGAGAAGCTAGTAAGAACGAGCAAGTGGGTAATGAGAGCACACACTACAGCGGACAAGCCAAGCCGATGCAAAAAACAGTATCAGAGGCAGAGGGAACGAAAGTCGGGCGCGAAAGACGCAAAAGAAGGGAAGCGTGGAAGAATGGGAGGGAAGGAATCAAGAGAGCAGGGCAGAAGGGGGGATACCTCGAGAGGAGGGAGTCCTTCCATGCAGCCATTCAGCACCGCACCGCACACCTGCCAAGTATGCAAAATTAAGGAAAGTTGACGGGAGGATCGTGAAAAAGCAGTCTGAATGAAATGGGTTTAGGACTCAGAAAGGTTGACATTGTTGACATTAGTTCAGATTGTTCAGACTGGTTCGAATTTGTTTCAAATACGTTTATTTTAAAATTCACATGCGATCTCACACCGGAGCCCACGGCATGGGGCAAGGAGTGAAAAGGCTGTTCCTCTCGATGTAGACATTTCTTTGAGAATGAGTGCGCTCACCCGAATCTTCTGACCAATGAAGAGCCGACCACGATGCAAAAGGTCCGTGAGGGGGCTGTCGAGGCGAGCAGGCAGCCAGTACCTGGACGGGGGAGGGGAGGGAAGGGAGGGGGGAGCATGGTTTTGGGTGTGGTTGTGAGGGGGCTGACTAGGCGAGCAGGCAGTCAGTACCTGCAGGGGAAAGGGAGGGGCGGGATGGGTTTAGGGAGGGAGGGGTGTGGCGTGGGAGAGGAGGGAGGGAGGGGGTGGGTGGCATGGTTCTGGGTGCAGTTGTGAAGGGGGCGTCTAGGCGAGCAGGTAGCGAGTACGGGGAGGGGAAGCACAGGAAGGGCGTGAACGGCGTGTGAGAGGAGGGAGAGAGGGGGGGCATGGCTATGAATGTGGCTGCGAGGGGGGCGTCTAGGCGAGAAGGCGGGCAGTACCTAGAGAAGGTAGGAAACATGGGGAGGGTGAGGTGTGGGAAACGGGGAAGTTGCTTGTTTTGAGTGAGTTGCAGGGGCTTTGAGTTTATTTTTTTTAGTTTTGAGCAGAAAGAAAGTGAGGGAAGCAAAAAAACCGGCACGCGGCAGTTCCTACCGGGGCTGGGATCTGAGACACGATCAGGGCTTGCTAGGATTCGTCACTACACAGAGATGGAATTATATATTTGAGCAATGGGCCATGGTTTGTGTGCGCTACTATTTTGCATGGGCTGCCAACATCTCCCCTCACCATCCATCAGTCACTTCAATCACCGCTGTCTGAGTTGCTCCAGCCACCGCCCCTCTCTGCCGCCCCGCCTCCTGCCTCTTCCCCCTCCCTTCCCCATCCTCCTCCTCCTCCCCACCACTCTTGTCCACCTCCGCAGCTCCCTCTCCTCCATCCCCCCTTCCACTCGCCCCTGCCTGAGACCGCACAGCAGAGATGCAGAGCACCATGGGGCTGCCAGCAGCAGCGTCCCGCTCGCACACCTTCTTCAGAGCGGATCGTTTCGCTTCGTTCACCTCCCTCTCATACCTGCTCGGGCAGGAGGTAGGGAGGGTGGCGGAGGAGGGCACCAAAGGGAATGGAAGGGCACAGCGAATTAAGCCAGGTCACCCAACATGGGGCTGCCAGCGGCAGCATCCTGCTCGCTCACACATCTTCCCCAGAGCCGATCGCTTGCCTTCATTCACCTCCCTCTCGTACGGTGTAGGGGCAGGAGACAGGATGCGTGGAAAAGCGCACCGAGAAGGATCAAAACTCAAATGCGGGCCAGACCATTCAATGACTATTCAAAACTCAAATGCGGGCCAGACCATTCAATGACTATTCAAAACTCAAATGCGGGCCAGACCATTCACCATAGCGCTGTGAGCAGAGTTGAGATGACTTTCGAGGCGCCTTGTCGGGTGCTTCTAAGATTTCTAAAAAAAAACTCTACTGCACCTCAATAGTCGAAACTCGAAGGCCACAGCGGAGCCAGGTCGAATGACCTGATAACACGCAGCCTCCTAAAAATGGTGGTAGCCTCTGATTTCTACTGAGGTTATTCTACCACTTACTCCACCATCAGCACCCCCTGCTTGCAGGCGAAGAAGGAAGCTGGCAGCCTGTGCGTGCCCTTCTCAATGGTACTCTAATGTGCGTGTGTCTGACATCGCTGCGACTTGAGAGCCTACTGGTTTGAAGTCGCTTGTCACCCACCCGTCCACCCACCTGTCCATCCACTCGTCCACCCACCCGACCACCCACCGGTACTTAAGCTGCTCCAGCACCTTCTCCACTGTCAGCATCCTGCCTGCCAGGCGACGAGGGAAGCTGCGCTCCTGACAGGCGAGCTTCCACACCACCCAGCGGAAGTGGTTTGTCACCCACCTGTGAAGGGCGGTTGGAGGGGGAAGGGGGGCGAGGGAAATGGGCACAGTGGAAGATTTGAAGTGGACTAACAAGCTGCGCTCCTGAAACGCCAGCTTCCACACCACCCAGCGGGCCAGCGGTAATGGTTCGTCACCCACCTGTGATGTGAGGGGCGGTTGGGGGGCACAGGAGCGGGTGGCAGGGTAAGGCATTGATCGCAGTGGACTTACAAGCTGCGCTCCTGACAGGCCAGCTTCCACACCACCCAGCGGTAGTGGTTTGTCACCCACCTGCAAACGGGTGGGAGTGACGCATGGAGGAATGGCTTATGGGGGGAAAGACGGTGAAGGGTTTTGACTGAGAAGAAAACGAAAAAACATATCAGAGGGCAGAGACCAGACCAGAAGATTGAGAAGGAAGGGCAGCAGTGACTCACTCTAGCGTGGCAAACTTGGGTTGGGCGCCTGCTGCAATGAGCATGTCCTGAAACTCCTTCGCCCCCACACTCGCACTCTCTCCACCATTTCGAGCACCAAGGACAGTCAGAGCAGCCTTGGCTTCCCCTTCTCGTGCCAATGCCCATCTCCCTCCTTCTGTTGTAGCTCCCTCCGCTGCTGCCCCTGCTGGTGATGCTGATGGTACAGCGAGTGCAAGGAGTGCAGGGAGTGCGGCAGTGGCCGCATCCACCCCAGGGCACACACTGCTCTCCACTAACGACGGTGCGACTGGCACCAAAACTTCTGCACCTGCTGTATCTGCTACATCTTCTACTGCTGCCACGCCACCCCCAATTGCTAACTCGACTACCCCTCCAGCATCTCCTCCTATATCACCCACGTTGATCCTATCTGCTAAATCTGCTGCACCTGCTGCACCTGCTGAACTGTCCGCTGCATTGGCAACGCCTGCTACACATGCCGCATCTCCTGCATCACTTGGAGCAGCTGCCATAATAGCTCTATTTGCTAAATCTGCTGCACATACAGCGTCTGCACCGTCTGCTGCACTAGCTACCTGTACAATGCCAGCTGCATCATTCGCTTCTGAGCCCTCTGGCCCAACTCTGAACCCAGCTGCTGGTGGCGATGGTTGCGACGATGAAGGTAGTAATGGTGGCGGCTGGGGTAGCGGTGGTGATGGTGGTGAGAGTGATGGCTGTGTGTTCGGTGGCAGTGCTGCTGCTGCTACTGGTGGTGGTTCTTCTGCTGGTGAGTCTTCTGCTGTTGCTGGTAGTGCGATCAGGGTGGGCAGTGACAGGGTAGTTGGGAGTGGTGGTTGTGCTTGTTGGGTTTTAGCAGCAGACGGGATTGTGAAGACAAATGTGAGGGCGGACTCGGCTGTCATTTTGCGAACTGCTTCTGACACCTTGCCCTCCTGTTAACCACAAGACAATGAGCGAAAGAGAAGGATGAGAAAAAAACGTACAGCAAAGAGTGCAAGTACCAAAACAGAGATACATTACAGACCTAGCAGGCTGCACTGCAGCAGGAATGACAATCAGCACCATGCAGCAATAATGCCTCTGAGAGTGGTACAGAACTTTGTAAACACACAAAAACGAACCCTTACTGTGTGTTCGCAAACACAGGCACTTCCTCTCGAGTTCAACAACACAGAACAAATCTCGCCACTCGTTCATGCCCAGGTGGGCACCCAAACATGCAGGGTATCTAAGGTGAGTCAAAACAAGAGAAGCCATTTGAGGCGCTTGAGAACTCACCACTCGTTCGAGCCCAGGCGGGTAACCAAAGAACTCAGCCATACAAGGTCGCCTCCTTGGCTTCCCCTCCTCATCCTTGTACAGGTCATGCAGTTTCCTCAGGCCCCCTTCCACCTGTCTAATCATCATTGCTGCACCCGCGCCCTCTCCCGCGCCTGCTCCTGAACCTGCTGCATCAGTCCTCAACCCACTCCTTGACATTGACACTGCACCATTGTCAGCAGTCATACGTCCCTCTGCTGCTTTCTGGTTGATGTCAAGAGATGGCGGATCAGCAGCATCAGTGAGTGAGCGCATGGGGATGGGGGGCAGGCCGGCGGAGCGGGAGCGAGGCGGTCGGTGTTTGGAGAAGAGGGAGGGGATGGTGGACGTGGGCGGGACGAACTGCCGCCGTGGGGAGGGCAAGGTGGACGGAGAACGGTTTAGGGGAGTTAAGGGGCGGCGGAGAGTGGTGCCAGGGCGGTGAAGAGGGGTGGGGGAAGTGTGGAGGGGAGCATTGTGGAGCCGATTGGGAGAGGAGTGGAGGGGAGTATGAGAGGGGTGGAGAGGAGAGTTGGAGGGGTGGGATGGGGTACGGGAGCGGTGCAAAGGAGAGGAGGGGTGGAGAGGAGGACAGGGGTGGAGAGGAGAGGTGGAGTGAATGGGAGGGGATGAACGGACGGGAGGTGGTTGGGCGAGTGAGGGAGTGTGTGGGGAAGGTGCAGGTGACTGAAAGAGTGCATGTGTGGGGTTTTGTGTGGTGGGACGGTGCTTTGAAGAGTTTACGGAAGAGTGAGCAAGCTGTGTGGGCTGCAACCGCTGTCTGGGATGCATGGACGGGATGGGCTGGATGGGTTGTGTGGGTTGTGTGGGTTCGGTGGGTTGTGTGGGTTGTCGGTGCAATGGTGAACCGGACAAAGAAGCTATGGAGAGAGGTGGAAGAGAGCCTGGTGTTTGCGATGCATACTGTGACTGTATGGAAAGGGGTCCTGGTGTGCTGAATTTGTCGGAGTGGAGGAGCGGAGGAGGGGGTGATGCGTATGCAGAGGAAGGGGGTGTGGAGAAGGGGAGAGAGGAGGCGGCGTTGAGTGAGGGAGTGTGCGGGTTGAATGGTGTAGCAGGATGCCCTCCTGAGAGCGGCATGAATGAGCGCCTGGTGTTGTCCTCCTGTTGCTTGTGAGAATGATGGGGCTGGGGCTCGAGATGGCACTGCGGCTGCGGCTGATAGACGTTGACTCTATCCAGTGTCTCGCTTCCAACATCGGCCCCATTGCAACCTCTCTGCCACGTCATACATCCACCAACCTCCCCGCTTCCACCCCCCTCCCCACTCCCACCACCACCCCCCCCACTCCCACCACCACCCCTCCCACTCCCACCACCATCCCTTGCACTCCCACTACCATCGCTCCTACTCCCCTCCCCATTCCTCCCATTTCCGCCTCCACTCCCCCCTGTCCCCAGGTCAAACAGGCTCGCAACCAATTCTTCTGCCCTCGCAAGAGCTGCCCAAGCCTCCACCGCAAGCTCGACCGCACCTTGTGATGAGGGTTGGGTGAGGGCGAGGGGCCAGGAAGGAGGGGAAGGGGGACGAAGAAGAGCAGGCTCTTCGGCTGCATCAGGAGCAGGCAGAGTGAGAGGAGGAGGCGGGGCAGAAGGAGCAGGAGCAGGTAGGGCGAGGGGAGCATGTGGAGGTGGTTGAATTGTTGCCAAAGTTTGAGGACAGGGAGGTGCAGTGCTTCCAAAAGGTGTGACCCTGGGAGCTTCAAACCGTGGCCTCTCATGCTGCTGCAACCCCAGAAAAGCACACGCCTCGTCCACTGCAGCTGAAGACAAAACAACCGGTTTCTTTGAGGCGGTTTGGAACAGACCCGCTGTTCGGACAGTCGCTCCTCCCAGACTGGCACTACCTTCAACCTGCGGCCTCTCACGCTGCTGCACTCCGAAAAGAGCACATGCCTTGTCCACGGCAGCTGAAGATATGTGCACCGGCTTCTTTGAAGCAGTTTGAAACAGACCCGCTGTTCGGACAGTCGATCCTTCCAGACTAGCGCTACCTTCGAACCGCGGCCTCTGATGCTGCTGCACGCCCAGCAGAGCACACGCTTTGTCCACAGCAGCTGAAGATAAAGAAACCGGCTTCTCTGAAGCGGTTTGAAACAAAGTTGTCCGTACAGTTGCTCCCCCCCAACTGGCTCTACTATCTGGCTGCGCCGCTCTCATCTGCTCTGCTCCTGCTCCCTCCAGCAGAAGCACTGCTGGTTCGTCACTGATCCTAGGTGCTTCCATCTGTGGAGGACCCTTATACTGCTGCACGCCCAGCAGAGCACACGCCTTGTCCACGGCAGCTGAAGATACATGCACCGGCTTGCCTCGGGCCGTTTGGAACAAACCTTCCCCTACAGTCTCTGAGCCCAATATAGCTCCACCACCTGCCTGCACCGCATTCGTTTGCTCTGCTTCTGTGTCCTCCAGCAAAAGCGCCGCTGGTTCACAGCTGATCCTGGGAGCTTCAAACTTTGGCCTCCCGGACTGCTGCACGCCTAACAGGGCACACGCCTTGTCCACAGCAGCTGAGGACAAAGAAACTGGCTTGCCTCGGCCTGTTTGGAACAAACCCGCCCTTACAGTTGCTCCCCCTCGACTAGCCCCTCCCAATCTAGCCCCACCATCTGGCTGTGCCATTACTGCCAGTTCTGCTCCTGAGTTCCGCACTGAAAGCTCCATTCCCGCAGGCGCATGAGCGCTCTCCCTCTCATTCTCTTGCGCGTTCAGCAGTGCTGGCGGCCTCTGCTGCACGCCCAGCAGAGCGCACGCCTTGTCCACGGCAGCTGAAGACACAGAAACCGGCTTGCCTCGACCTGTTTGGAACAGACCCGCCCCTACAGTCGCGCCCCCTCCACTAGCCCCTCCCAATCTAGCTCTGCCATCTACCTGTGCCACTACTGCCAGTTCTGCTCCTGGGTTCCACACTGAAAGCTCCATTCCTGCTGGCGCATGGGAGCTCTGCCTCTCATGCCCTTGTGCGTCGAGCAGTGCTGGCGGCCCCTGCTGCATGTCCAGTAGCGCGCACGCCTTGTCCACTGCAGCTGAAGACACAGAAACCGGCTTGCCCCGGGCTGTTTGGAACAGACCCGCCCTAACACTCGCTCCCCCCTGATTAGCTCCCCTCATTGTCGCTCCGCCATCTGGCTGCGCCAGTTTTGCTCCTGGGTTCCGAACTGAAAGCTCCATTCCCGCAGGCGCATGAGTGCTCTGCCTCTCATGCCCTTGAGCGTCCAGCGGTGCTGGCGGTTCCTGCTGCACGCCCAGCAGAGCACACGCCTTGTCCACAGCAGCTGAAGACACAGAAACCGGCTTGCCCCGGGCTGTTTGGAACAGGCCCGCCCCTACACTCGCTTCCCCCCAATTAGCTCCCCTCATTGTCGCTCCGCCACTTGGCTGCGCCAGTTCTGCTCCTGGGTTCCGCACTGAAAGCTCCATTCCTGCTGGCGTATGACAGCTCTGCCTCTCATGCCCTTGAGCGTCCAGCAGTGCTGGGGGCCCCTGCTGCACGCCCAGTAATGCGCACGCCTTGTCCACAGCAGCTGAAGATACAGATACCGGCTTGCCTCGGGCGGTTTGGAACAAACCCGCCCCTACAGTTGTTCCCCCCGGACTAACCCCCTCTCCCAATCTAGCTCCACCATCTGGCTGCGCCACTACTGCCAGCTCTGCTGCTGAGTTTCGCACTGAAAGCTCCATTGCTGCAGGCACATGAGAACTCTGTCTCTCATGCCCTTGAGCGTCCAGCAGAGCTGCAGGTGTGTGTATAGGCGGTGTAATTTGAGGCGCGACAAACTGTGGTCCCTTGTACTGCTGCACGCCCAGCAGAGCACACGCCTTGTCCACAGCAGCTGAAGACAAGCGAACTGGCTTGTTTGAAGCTGTTTGAAACAGTCCCGCCCCAACAGTCGACCCTTCCGTACTACCTCCTCCAAGATGAGCACTATTACCAAAGCGTGGCCTCTCGCGCTGCTGCACGCCCAGCAGAGCACACGCCTTGTCCACGGCAGCTGAAGACAGAGGGACCGGCTTGCCCCTGGCTGTTTGGAACAAACTTGCTGCACCGGCAGGCGGTCGTGCTGGTGGTGGTTGTGACGGTAGCATTGATAAAGGAGATGGGTTCAGAGCGGTGGATATGAGAGCTACAGCTGTATGTGGTGGTTGTGGTGGTGGTTCTGGTGGCAGTGACAAGGGAGATGGATTCAATGCGGTGGTGAGAGCTGCAGCTGTTGACTCATTTGTCACTGGCACTAAGGCCATGCATCCTCGAATCTCCTGCTTCCCTTCTGCTCCTTGCATATCTTGTTGCCCTTGAATCCACTGCTGCCCTTCCATTCCCTGCTGCCCCTGCTGCCCTTGCGGCCCTTTCATCCCCTGCTGCTCCTGCTGCCATTCTCCATCCTCCCCAAACAGCTTCATCACGCCTGCAGCAGCAGCAGCTGACACGTTCACCTTCCTTCCAGACGCACTCTGGAGGAGAAACCCCCCTGACACTGCATTGCCTGGTGCAGCAGACTGTAAGTTGTCGATCGCAGCAAGTGGCTTGCGCTTTGATCCAGGAGCCATGGCATGCAGCGGTGGTATACCACCAGGGCCATCAGCTCCAGCCTTGCGCTTCATTCCTCGGGTTGCTATCACACCCATATGACCACCAGCGTTCTCTCCTCCCTCAACCAGCGTTTCAGATGCTCTTGAACCTGCTCGCACTTGTGGGTGCAGCTGAGGCTCTGAATGAAGGGGAGGGCCCAAGTCTCGACTTCTTCGCACTCGCAGGGACGGCTGCAGGTGGCGCTCTGTTGTTGAGGGTTTCTTGGCCGCGTTGCTCATGGTCTTGTGAAGTAGCCGATTCACCTTGCGGCCCTTCTCAACCTGAATACATCCAGAATAAAGGGATAAACAAAGAAAGACAGAAGACTCATGTCAACTCAACGCCTTGACGGTCTTGACTGAAAAAAGCAGGTGAGATACGCCCAACACCTCAAAAGATGCAGAATTCTGGCTTACTCATAACTGATTCAGGTTACCAGATTGGCATGGCCAAGAGAAGGAAGTGTGGATTGGCCGCCACCAGTGAGGCCTCTTGCAGAGCGTGGCTTCTTGAACTTTGGGGCCATGAAGACGCGTGTGGCAGAAGCCCTGTGGTGCTTCTGGAATATCGAGGAAAGGAGTCCGGTAAACGAAGCACGAGAGGCAAGGAGTCAGGAAAGGAAGGGCAGGGTTTCAAATTGGCAAGATGTGTACGCGTGATGGAGCACGAACCAATCAACATGCTATGGATGGAGTGGAGTGGACAGGCCGAAAAAAGGAGGGCATTGAGTCTTGACTCACATTTTGAGGTTGAGTGGGTTGAAGGAGATCGTCCAGAATGTCCGAACTTCCTTCCCTTGCGCTGCCACCATTCTTCGCTTTGAACATAATCGAATCACCATTTCTAAATGCAATGCCTCGAGGGCAATGGGCTCCATCCTGTGTGTCTGCAGCAGCTGAAGTCCTCTGGCTGCTGTCAAGCCATAGACAGGAAGGCCGTGGATCTGTAATGCCAGCAACAGCAATAGCGCCAGAAGCTGTAGCGCCAGCAGAAGCTGTAGCGCCAGCAGCAGCTGTAGCGCCAGCAGAAGCTGTAACGCCAGCAGCAGCTGTAGCGCCAGCAGCAGCTGTAGCGCCAGCAACAGCCGTGAGGCCAGCAGCTGCTGTAGCACCAGAAGCATCTGTAGCGCCAGCACCAACTAAAGCTCCAGAAGCAGTTGTGGTGGAAGAAGCAGCTGAAGCGCCAGCAGCAACTGTAGCGCCAGCACCAGCTGCGGTGTTCTCAGACCTATATGGCGGTTGTGCTTCATTGGACAGTCGTGTTGGCTCACAAGGTTCCATTGCTGTCTTGAAAAGTTCTGCTACTTCAGGTCCTCCTCGCTGCGAGCACGCTGGAGAGAGGTCAGGCCCTGAACATGCTGGTGGGGGATTTTCCTGAGGCTTCAACGCTGCCTCTGATCCTTCTGCAACTGAAGCGGTTGCAGTTGAACACACAACGCCGGATACTGCCAAGGCAGGACTAGCCATAGGGCATGGTGGTGAGGTGGCGGATGGTGGTGAGATGCGGCCTGTGCCTGCAGCATCTGAGTCCGCCTGAACCGGAAGACTTGCACTTTTCATTTGTGGCTCATCAGCGACGGTATGACGCAAATAATTCTGCTGACTGATGACTGCTGGCGATACGCCTGCATTTTCCGCTGCTTCTTCTCTCTCCACAAGTGGTTTGTGGGGTTCATGACCTTGCCTTTGACATGCTCCCGCAGCAGAATGGAGGGAAGCACGCGTTCCTGGTGATGAAAATATTATCAATGAGTGGAGATATTGAGACGTCTCAAAGCATGCACACTTTCCTGCTGAGAAGGTCAGTAATGCGTGGATAATTAGCATCGGGAGAACGGAGAGAACGGATTCATGCGAGCTGAGGAATGCGTTATATTCTAGCCTCTGGAAAACGGATTCATCCACCGAATAAATTGACGATCATGCTGCAGAAAAATAATGCAAGAATTGAGACGTACGCTGCAAAAAATCGCGAAGCTCGCTGCTCTCCTCAGCCGCGTCGTCGAGAGTTTTTAACGCGGAAAGAAGGGATCCTGCATAGCTTTCCGACGTTACACAACCATTCTCCCGTAGACCGTGCCGACCAGCACCAACGGTCCGGCCTCCCTCGACAAGAGACAAATCGCCACTTCTTCGATCAACTACCAATGAAAACGAATGCACGGGACAACCGATCTCGTCCATGGTAAGAAAGTAGCCGACTTCACTCTTTCGGCTGAAGCGTCAGAGATACGCGTACTTCATGGTTCTGGCGGGGGTTCGTTGAGAGACACAAGTCACATTATGGTATCCTGAATGTATCTCAAAGGTCACCTTCCGGACTCCTGACGGACTCCTGCGGTTTGTTCCATGATCAGCGTCTGCGTCACGCCCTTGGCCGGCGGTTTCAAGGGCCTGAACGAAGAGGAGCATATTCAAGGTTTGAAATTGTCACTCTAACGAGCGGAGAAGCAAATAATCAAGTAAAATGGACTCGATGACTTTTGCCGCATTGCACCGAGCTCGACAACCGACTGAACAGCACCACAAGCAATCAGGAAGCCCAAGAAGAACTCAAGCCGTCGGATGTATCGTGGAATTATCGAGCGGCTGTGCATGCGTCCCTCTAGCACCACAGACGAAATTAATATCCCAGAATCGTCCGTAACTGGTTTCGCTGATTCCCGTCGCAGGGGCCTTGCACGGTTACCCCTCCGTAACAGCCTGAGGTTCTTTTCGGGACTGTATACCTTCGTCACGAAAACACTTCCCTGCAGAACCGAGCAGGTCGTGCAGAGCAAACATCTGCACCAAAACGTACCCCTTTTCAAAGCGGAATAGCCCTTGTTCATTTTGTCCAATCAGCTTCGTCCACGCCCCCACACTCCTTGGAACCACGATCATCACTCCCCCAAGCTTCGGCATGTGGACCAAGTCTACATGAAAGATACAACTGCCTTGCCTAGGACATGTGGTGTGGTGTGTGTGACTGACTGACTGACCATGGCTTCACAAATTCTTTTCCTGTCAGAGTGATAGACTGCCTCAGTAGCCGCGTCTGCAGCAGTAAGCCGTGTACCTCCTGCATTTAGCCGCCATGGCTAATTCATGTTTCGCTATATCAAGCTGCAGACCGGCGCTGTTGGGGAGCCCGTTGAGTCAACGATTGGATGAATCGTCCAACTTGCGAACACATCATGAGAGCAGTTGTTTAATCCGTCGGCCAGCGCGGCTAGCGCATAGAGTAAGCATATCGGCTTAGTATTCTTGCTTCAATAATGGAAGATAATTGATCCGTAAATGATTCCTTCCGATCATGTCTCCTTTCATTGACAAAGTCTGCTCCTCAGTCGAATGCCTAAAGGTTTCCCTAATTCGCCGATAAGCAATTCATTTCCGCCAATGACTTTGCTGTGGCCCTGTCAGCGACCAATTGTTCACGCCGTCAGCGCAGCGGATAACGGCGCCGCGGCAGCTGAGGAAATGCGCCTTGCGAGGGGATCAGCGCGACTGGAGGGAGCACCTCGCGGGGCGAAGCAGGTGTTGCTGGTGGATCCCGTCGAGGCGAAACGGCTAGCGCAAGAGGACCTCAAGAAACGTGCCAAGGCCGCGTCGCAACAGGCAAGCGTTTGTGTCAAAAAGTCGTTGTACATTTAAATGGTGTGGAGCTGCTAGGGTGAGATGATTCTAAGATTGCCAAGGCCGCGTTTTTTAAGTTAAATTGATTTTGTTGGCGCGATAACAGCAAATTTGGTGTGATTTGAGCCGCCCATAATAGCCAAGATTGGAGCCTTGACATGTTTCTGAGAGAAGGTGGAAGTTTCGTCTGATGACAAATTACCTATTTTAGGCATGAGCAGGGCCGGGACCAGCCTAGCTGGAGGCATTTTCTAATCTCCTAACATGCTAGTTATTCAGAGAAAGGGTATGGAGGATCTTGGAAGAAGAATTCAGAAAGATTGGTCAGAACTTGGAACCCCAGAATAAGTTGAACATTTAGAATGTTGTCGCCCTAAATTTGGCGCACTCGACTCAGGTCATGTGCGTCCATGACTGTTTAAGACGGAATGAGACTTATCTCGGTTCTGGCTCGCAGCGGCCCGGAATGTCTTGTCATCCGCGATCGCAGTGTGAGGTGGTGTGGGTTGGGTTGACACAGACCGAACCTATTTTCTTGTCTTGTCTTGATTCACTTTTTCGTGATTCCCTTCCTGCAGAAGTGGCGGGAGATTGAGGCTATCAATGGTGCATGGGCCGTCATTGGCATCTTCGCTGCCTTGGTGGGAGAGGGCTTCACTCAGACTGGCATTCTTGGGCAGGTAAGAAAAGTGTTTGACATGCTGAGCGATGCTGTGGGTTTCCTCCTTTAGGGCATGATGGGTTTTCTCTTATAGAGCATGTTGAATGTTCTCTTTGAGCGGTAGAGCAACTATGTTGAAGGCATTACTTGGGAGGAATGGTTTATTAAAAGCAGCGGGTGTGAATCAGTCACAGGAAGCAAGTGCCAACTGTTCTCCCCGTGTATCCATTCTCTCTTGTTTTTGCAACAGTGTGCACTCTACCTTGAGCTTGTTGCTGGCGCGATTGAGTCGCTTGCGAAATTTGTGGGAGATCTTTAAGCTACAACACTAGGGAGCATGGGGCAGCACATGGCAAGCACCATGTGTTTGTGGTTCACTTTTTGCATCTCACATGGTTGTGATGCTTAGTGTGGTACAACCCACCTCTTTACAGCGTGTTCACATGGTTGTGATGCCTAGTCCGGCTTTTACCAGCCATCTCTTGTACAGTATCCGCAAGACTCTTGGGCCCTGTAAGATGCTGATTTTGTATTTAGCGAGCTGTAATAGTCTGCAATCACAGCATGGTGTGGATTTGTAAGAGTTCTTTCTATCTCCTGTAAGATAATTCTGCCTAGAGCAGGTGATTACGGTAGGGTTCCTTCCACGTCGTTAACCACATAAAGCGAGCAGCTTACAGACTATATTACGTGTTAGTCTGCCCAATCAAAATCGCTCGTTCCATCTTTCGGGTCCAAGCTGCTTGCAAAGCACGCAATCCGCGCTGGCGCTGGTCATGAAGAGCCACGTGCATCGCAGGCCACCTGGCCACTCCAGATTGAGGTGGCGGATACCATAAAGCGGTTCAGATGGTATTCTCAATATTCTGTTTCGGTTGGATGCGGCAGCTCTTGCTCGAAGTTCCTGAGGGAACCTGTCCTGACAGATGGGTGAGGGGTGAAATCGGATTTGTTTTCTGGAGCTGAAAATTCCATTTCACCATTCCAAATTCCATTCCAGCTCAAAGAGTTGTGAGAATTCCAATCTGGAGCTTGAAGCTGCTCGCCGGTTTTAGAAGCACTGCAGTCGCACAACGCAGCGTACTTGTGTCGATTCTGTGTCTGGTCTTTTTCGCGAGTCATTGAGTCAGTCCGAAAGGGTACTGTTACGTGTTCACGCGATATACTTGCGTAGGACCACGGAACCATGGCTGCATTGCATATGGTGTCGCATGTTAGCGGCGGGCTGTCGTCAGTAGCCCGTGCTTCTCCTCGCGTCCTGTCAGCTCAACGGAATTCGTCGTTTGATTCGTCACAAGCCACTCAGCTTGCCGATACGAGGTGTCTTCTGCGAGGAGATTTTCTTCAGAAAGGCTGTTTGCGATCGGCTACGTTGCAAGCGGGCATTGGTGGTCAGGGACTGTCGCAATCGCTGGCCCTTCGGCGGGATGACCAGCCGTCGAGACGTGGCCGTGTTTCAGTCACTGGTGCGAACGTACATCGATCTAGCTATGTAGCAATTAATTGTCCGGCTGAGCATGCATATTCGCAATCAAGTTTCGGTTTTCTAGACACATCGGGTTAAGTATCACGTGTATTTTTCTCCTTCTTCCTTGCACCGTTCCTCCACCACCCTCCCCTTCCCCTCTATCCCCCCCTCATTACGCGCATCTACAGCTACAGCATCCGCGTCATCGGGGTTCGACGAGATGGCGGCGGGGAGGACGCGCAAGTACTACATGGTGGGGGGGAAGGGCGGCGTGGGGAAGACGAGCGTGTCCCTTCCCCTCCTCATTTCCGTCCCCGCATCCCCGCAACCCCCACTCCCCTTTCCCCTCCCCCCCTTCACCCCCCCCCCCCCCCAGTGCACGCATCCACGTCATCAGGGTTCGACGAGATGGTGGCGGGGAGGACGTGCAAGTATCACATGGTGGGGGGGAAGGGCGGCGTGGGGAAGACGAGCGTATCTCTTTCCCCCCTCATTTCCCTCCCCTCGTGGCCCATCCTTGCACCCCCACTCCCTTTCCCCTTCCCCCCTCCCCTTTTCCCCAGTGCGCGCATCCACGTCATCAGGGTTTGACGAGATGGTGGCGGGGAGGACGCGCAAGTACTACATGGTGGGGGGGAAGGGCGGCGTGGGGAAGACGAGCGTGTCCGCGGCTCTAGCAGTGAAGTTCGCCAACGAGGGCCATCGCCCGCTCGTGGTTTCCACCGATCCCGCGCATTCTCTCAGCGACTCCTTCGCCCAGGTTGGTCTCAGGTGTCTGTCAGGTGTGTGCTTTCAGGATAGGGTGTAAGACGAGCGTGTACGCCACTCTGGCAGTGAAGTTGGCGGCCAACGAGGGTCATCGCACGCTCGTGGTTTCCTCCGATCCCGCTCACTCCCTCAGTGACTCCTTCGCCCAGGTGAGACTCATGTGTCTGTCAGGTGGGGCTCAGGTGTCTGTCAGGTGGGGCCCAGGGCCAGCTTTTCTGCTTCATGAACAAGATTGGATCTTGCTTCTCGTCCAATCGTTTTTCCGTCGTCCGCCTTTTTTGTTGACCCTTTGCCCCCATGTGTCCCCCCTCTGCTACCCCCTCAAACCCCTCCCACCTCCCCCTCTCAACCCCCCTAACCTCCAACTTACTTTGCTATAGTCGCTCTGTTTCCCCCAACCCGAAACCCGCCCTCCGCCCTTTCCACCCTTGTGCTTTTCTCAGGGCGTGTCAGGGGAGGGAGTCTGTGGCTGTGGAGGGTTCTAACCTGCCTCTGTTCGCTGACTCGACTCGTTTCTCCCCCAACCGCTCTATTCCCCCCATCCCCTAACCCGCCATTCCCTCTCCCCGGCCCCCTCCCACCTACATGCATATCTCAGGAGGTGTCAGGGGGAACGCCAGTGGCTGTGGAAGGAACCGACCTGCGTCTGCTGGCTGGCCTGCTGTTGTCCCTAAACCTGACCTTTCCCCATCCCCCCACCCTTGTGCTTTACCATACCAGGACGTGTCAGGGGGAACGCCAGTGGCTGTGGAAGGAACCGACCTGCCTCTGTTCGCCATGGAGGTGAGTCAAATGGAGGATGTGAGTGACTATACTGGGGGGACAATGTCCTGCAGGCAGGGAAGGGTGGGGTGGGGAGGGAGGGGCAGAAGGAAAGAGGAGGGCATTGGTAACTGGGGAAGCAGATACTCTTCAACTGGAGCATGTGTAAGACATGCATTTTCTGCTCCACAGAGCATGAAAACACGGCATTTCATCCTTTCCTGCCCCTGGCAGGCACCAGTGAGTGACCCCCACTCTATCGCTGGCACCAGTGACCCCCACTCTATCGCTGGCACTGGTGGGGCACCAGTGGCACCAGCCATCCCCACTCCGCTTGACACTCCATTTCTTTCTGCATGGCAACGGATTGACCCAAAGCAGGCGCGGGAGGAGTATCAGTTTTCCGTACAAGTTCCAGAACACTTCCGTACCCATTTGTTTGTGTATGCGCCCCATCTGTTCCTGCATGGCAACAGATCGACCCAGAGCAGGCGCGGGAGGAGTTTCGGACAGCAACAGGGAAGGATGGTGGCAAGGGCGTGAAGGACTTTATGGACTCAGTGGGGCTGGGCGGCTGGGTTGACCAGGTGCGTGCGGCAGCTCTAGGGGGCTTATAACGAGGATAAGGATCCCGTGCATTTTTTTATGTGCGTTGGGCTTTGGACGGGCCCAAGGGCGTGAAGGGCTTCATGGACTCCGTGGGGCTGGGCGGCTGGGTTGACCAGGTCTGTGCGGCAGCTCTTACGGGGCTAATAACAAGGGCTATTATGTGAATTTCTCGTATATGGTGGCTGGGGTTGAAGTAGGCAAGGGCGTGAAGGGCTTTATGGACTCAGTGGGGCTGGGCGGCTGGATTGACCAGGTTCATGTTGTGGATGACATTAGGGTTGTGAGGTGGCTTATAACGAGGAAATTCGTGCTATGTTATGGTGACTAAGGTTGGATTGGTGCAAGGGAGTGAAGGACTTCATGGACTCCATGGGGCTGGGCGGCTGGATTGACCAGGTACGTGTTGTGAATGCTAGGCACTCTATAACGCGGATAACCATGTGAAATTATGTTATATGGTGGCGTGGGTGCATGGAGCATGGTGGCCAGGGCGTGAAGGACTTTATGGACTCCATGGGGCTGGGTGGCTGGCTCGACCAGGTTCGTGCGCCTACTCTAACGGGGGGGTTTATAGCAAAGGAAAGGATCTCGTGCATTTACTTTGTAAGGTGCGTTGGGTCTAGGATGGGCCAAGGGAGTGAAGGACTTCACGGGGCTGGGCGGCTGGCTCGACCAGACCAGGTTCAAGCCCCAACTCTAGGGTGCCTGGTAACGAGGATAAGCGTTTCATGCGTTTCTGGTGGTGCGTTGGGGCAAGGACGGTGGCAAAGGCGTGAAGGACTGAATGGACTCAATGGGGCTTGACCAATTTCGCGGACTGGACAGTTTTCTCTCCCCCTTCCCCCTTCCCCCTTCCTCCTTCCCCCTTCACCCTTCCCCCTTCCCCCTTCCCCTCATGGAATGAGCCTCCTTTTTAGTCGACTCAAAAAACATCTCCTCCGACTCCTTCCTTCTCCCTCTTCCGCTCTCTCCCCCGATTGCCGGGCTCGCAGCTGAGCGAGCTGAAGCTGGGCGAGCTGCTGGACACACCACCACCTGGGCTGGATGAAGCTGTTGCCATCGCCAAGGTAGGTCGAGGGGTTGAGCGTGTTGGAGAGAAGTGGTGTACCGTGTAATGAAGGGCGGTTGATAAGGGTTGGGTTGATGGGGGGGGGGGGGGGTGAGCGACGGGTTGTGACTGGAAGGAATTGGGACGAGCTGTAGCTTGGAGGAGAGCTGCTGGATACGCCACCGCCTGGGCTGGACGAGGCAGTTGCCATTGTCAAGGTAGGTTGAGGGGGGAAAGGTGGTTGGGGTGGAAGGGGGGAGTTAGAGAGGGGAAGGGTTGGAAGGGTAGCCGGGCGGCTGTAGTTAGGTGAGGTGAGCTGCTGGATACCCGACTACAGCCGCCCGGCTACCCTTCCAACCACCTTGGCTGGATCCGCCACCACCCGGGCTGGACGAGGCAGTTGCCAGCCATTGCCAAGGTCGGTGGAGAGATGGGGGGGAGGAGAGGTGGTGTGGAGTGCAGGGAGGGAGCTAGAGAAGGTTAGGTTTGGAAGGAACCTAGGGTGCTGGGCGCGCCATTTCTCGGGCTGGACAAGGGAGGGAGAGAGGGGGGGAGTGGGGGGGGGGAAGGGGGGATCGGGTGAGAGGTTTTGGGGTGTGGGTTGAATGGAGGGAGCTGACGAGGGGACTAGGTTGGACAGAAGTTGGGCGTCTGGACACGCTGCTGCCTAGGGTGTTTAGTTGATACTGCTGAGGAACTTGGCATCCTCTCACCTACTCTCACCTACTCTCACCTACTCTCACCTTCTCTCACCTCCTCTCACCTCTCTCCACCACTCGTTCTTCTCCCAGGTGGTGCAGCTCATCTCATGCAAGCCACTGAGAACAGCAACTTCACTCGCATCACCTGTTGTACTCCTCTTTCACCTTTCCCTCATCTATCATTGACTCTCACCTCCTCTCACCTCCTCTCACCTCCTCTCAACTCCTCTCACCTCCTCTCACCTTCTCTCACCTTCTCTCAACTCCTCTCACCTCCTCTCACCTCCTCTCACCTCCTCTCAACTCCTCTCACCTCCTCTCACCTTCTCTCACCTTCTCTCAACTCCTCTCACCTCCTCTCACCTCCTCTCACCTCCTCTCACCTCTTCTCACCTCTTCTCACCTCCTCTCACCACTCTCCACCACTCTCTCTTCCCCCAGGTGGTGCAGTTCATGCAATCACCCGAGTACAGCAACTTTACGCGCATCATTGTTTGACACTGCTCCCACGGTAAGACATATTTGGGGCACCTCAAAACTCAACATGATGCACCTCGAGTGCACACGGATTTCATACGGAGAGAATTTTGAGGCGCCACAAAACTCACCTCAATGCACCTCGAGTACAGCAACTTTACGCGCATCATCTTTGACACCGCACCCACTCTGGGTTATCTGCCTGCACTGCATATTCATTCTCCTCCTTATCCTCTCCGCGTTTCTGGGCTCTTCAACCCCACTCTGTCCAACCTGCAGTGCTATATTGGTGTTACTTTCTTCAACCTGCAGAGAATTCTCAAAAGTAAAGTAACACCAATATTGCCAACATATGTCCTGTCTTGAAGCGGCTGCAACTGCTCCGGGTGTTCGCGCCGAGGCAACTGTCCTATCTCTTTTCATCATGTGTGCCTGTGTTCTCTCTCTCCTCTCCATATCTCTCCCTCCGATGACTCATTACCAGGGACACACGCTTCGGCTCCTCTCCCTCCTGGATTTCCTGGATGCATCCATCGGGAAAATCCTCACAGTGAGTGCTCTCCTTCCCATCGGGGGATACTCTCACATTGGGATAATCCCCTTCCTCACCTGCTTCACAGTTCTATCTGCTCGTCCACGAGTACTGTGAGGCCCAACACATGGTGCTCTTCCTCACATGGTGCTCTTCCTCACATGGTGCTCTTCCTCACATGGTGCTCTTCCTCACATGGTGCTCTTCCTCACATGGTGCTCTTCCGTGCACTCCTTGACCTCCAGCTTTCCCTGCTGTAAACGGTTACGTTCTGCCTTTCTCTCCCCCTACGCCCCGCTGCCTGTGTGCCACATCGTTCTCCTCTGTTGTGTGCCCGTGTGCCGCGTTGTTCTCCTCCCCTGCCCTTTCCCTTTCCCTTTCAGTCATTCCAAAACTCGGAATGCCCCCTTGCCCTCCCCTCCATTGTATTAATGCGGTGATTGGTACAACATTGCTCTCATGTTGCACTGTTCCCTCCGCTTCCCGCAGCTGAAGAACAAGATCAGCTCTGCCACATCAGCAGTCAGACAAGTCTCTTCTTTGAGGCGCCTCAAGTGTCTTTCCTCCCTCCCCACTGCATGTGTCTTGCCTGATTTTCCTCTCCTGCCCTGCAGCTCAAAAACAAGATCAGCTCTGCCACGTCAGCAGTCAAGTCCCTCTTTGGTCAGGAGGATGGCAAGCCTGACACGGCAGTGAGTGAGGGGGGTGGGGGTTGTGCGGTGCGGAGGTGAGGAGAGGTGGGGGTGGGGGTGGGGAGAGGTGGGGGTGGGGGTGGGGATGGGGATGGAGAGAGGTTGGGGTGGGGGTTGTGCGGAGGTGGGGAGAGTTGAGAGAACGTGGGGAGAGGTGGGGGGAGGTGGGGGAGGTGGGGGGAGGTTGGAAGAGCTCAGTGTTGAGTTGATTCACGAGTCAGCTTAAGTCTATCCTTTGACTGTGTCACTGTAGCACTGCAAGAATATGCGACCATATTTTTGTGTGACTGTTTTTGCATGTGACAATGCGAATGTGACTGTAGGTGGAGAAGCTGGAGCAGCTGAAGGAGCGGATGGTGATGGTGAGGGAGATTTTCCGCGACCAGAAGGCCACCGAGTTCATTATAGTCACAATCCCCACAATCATGGCGATCAACAAGAGCGCCCGCCTGCTGAAATCCCTGGAGGTGGAGGGTGTGCCGGTGAAGCGGCTTATAGCGAATCAGATCCTGCCCAAATCGAATTCCGACTGCAAATTCTGCAACATCAAACGCAAGGTACACCACAAATTGATGTTGCAACATCAAGTTTATGGTATGCTCGTACTGTGGGATTACTTTTTGGACGTCTTCAAAATTTGTTCCGTTTCACATGTCAACATCTCGTGCCCTTGTATTCACTTGAAGCTCATCTCATGTCCTCGCCGATCCCTCCTCCCTTGCTCAACTTTACTTGCTTGTCATCTGCCTTCGTTTGAAGTTTTGAACCTTCAAATGGACGTGGACGTATACCTTTGTGTTCCCCTGCTCCTTTTTCCAGCTAGCCTACCGTCCTCCTAATCACTCTCTCTCTCGTCATCCTCCCTCTCTCTTCATCCTCCCTCTGCCTCCTTGCCACATTCTTGCTCACCTTGCCTGCTATTGCCTCGTTGAATCCACCCCTCGCACCTCCTTGCCACAGGACCAGCAACGAGCATTGGATGGCGTGGAAGCGGATAAGGAGGTGAGCCACCTGCGGGTGATTCAATCGCCTCCTCCTTACCTTGTATATGTCAGAAACAAGAAGTGATGAACTAGAAAGTTGTTTGAGTACAAGTAGGAAACCCTAGTGAAATGTACCCCCTAAAGGGTAACCCACTGTAGCCTACACAGCAGAAACATATATAATGTTTGACACACCCCCATAGGCTAAGTGGGGGAGAACAAGGGGTTACAGGACCAGTCAAGAAAACCAAAGCAAGCTCAGGGTGGATCACAACGTCACCACACACTCTGAGCACAAGCCATATACCACAAGGCCAGTTCACATGCAGAGGCATATATATAGCACAAACATCACAGTGATCTATGTCTAGCAAGTATGCAGGTATAAATATATAGATCACAGTACAGGCAAGGTCAACAAGTGAGGAAAAGTGGGCACAAGTCCTAGCAAAGTGCAGAAACGCTGATGATCACCAGACTGAAGTGCCTTGGTGAATATATCAGCAGTGTTGGCCTGAGAGGCCACAAAATGCAGACGAAGCTGACCACGCTGCTGCAACTCTCGAGCCAGAAAGTAACGTAGAGCAATGTGCTTCGTCCTGTGCTTCAGTCTGTGCTCCTCACACAAGGCAATGGCAGCCTTGTTGTCGACGTACAGCACTGGAGGAGAACGAGGCGGCTCTCCCAGGTCGGTCAGTAGGTAGGTGAGCCAGCGTAACTCCTGTGCAGCCATGGCTGTGGCGTATATCTCAGCCTCACAACTGGAGCTGAGAACTGAAGACGAACGTGTAGAACGCCAAGAAACTGAGCCAGAGCTAAGGCGGAAGGTGTAACCCTGTGACGACCGCTGAGTAGCCTGGTCGTCAACCCAAGAAGCGTCTGAGTGCCCAATGAGAACAACTGGGCTCCCTCCTCCAAGCACGAGCCCCATGCCCGATGTACTGCACAAGAAGCGCAATACCCTCTTTGCAGCATCCCAGTGCACCTTTCGGTGCCTGCCAGGAGCCACATAGCGGGCCAGAAGGCCAAGAGGGTATGCTAGGTCAGGACGAGTGCAAGTCATCAGGTACATGAGGCAACCAACTAGCTATGGGTAAGAACCACTCGGCTCTACGGACTCATCCGAAGGCAGAGCTGAGAGCGAGTGACCTATAGCCAGAGGAGTGGCCTGTGCTGAGGACCAGGTGAAGCCGAAGCGCTGAAGGACCTGCTGCACCATGTGTGACTGAGTCAGTGTGATGGTGCGGCGTGCTCTGTCCCGGGTGATCTGCAAGCTAAGGTAGCTGCGCAGTTCACCCAGGTCTGTGCACGTGTGTCTCTTCTGCAGCTCGGACTTCACATGGGCGAGAGCCTCAGTGTCAGCAGTGGCAAAGACCAAGTCGTCGACGTACACCAGGATGTAGAACGGCGGCAGCGAAGTGTCGGTGCGCAAAAACAGTGATGGGTCAGCAGTAGAAGGCGTGAACCCAAGTGCCGCAAGAGTAGTCCTCAGTGTGTCGTGCCACTCACGTGGCGCCTGGCGGAGACCGTAGACCGGCCGCCGGAAGCTCCACTGGGTACCAGGAAGAAACGACCCAGTGAAGCCAGGAGGGTGGCGCAGCCAGATCTCCTCGTGCAGGCTGCCCTGCAAGAAAGCTGTGCTGAAGTCAAGAGAGTGAAGCTCGTAGTCACGTTGAGCAGCAACGTGCAGTAGCACCCGAAGAGTGGTCATCTTCGGGGTGGGGGAGAAGGTCTGAAAGAAGTCTACTCCCTCTCGCTGACTGAAGCCTCGAGCAACGTAACGAGCCTTGAAGACAGGCGGGGAACCCGGCGGCCGCTTCACCCTGAAAATCCACTTGCCACTGACGATGTTCGCCCCAGGAGGGGGAACCTCGTCGACGTAAGTGCCAGTGGACTTCTAGGATGCCATCTCTGCATCCATGGCTGACTGCCACTGAGAGGAGTACTCACCCGCGATCGCCTCAGCGTAAGAGCGCGGGGTCGGGATGTCTGGAGCATCCGGGTTTCCCTCAGGGGCAATCAGCATGGACACGAGATAAGACGTAGCGGCTGCAAGACACTCAAGGTCCTCCTGTCTGTCCTCAAGGACGTCCGTGCCTAGAGCACACTCACCCCCGACGGACTGAGGACAGACAGACTCAGACTCAGCAACAAGACTGGCGGCGTAGTCTAGACGACAGTGAGCAGCAAAGTCGACAAGCTCAGCAACTAGGGCAGACGCAGCAGCAGACTCAAAGGAAGGGTCAGTGACAGCAGTGGCCAGGAGACGCGTGACAGTAGGACTGGCAGCACGAACCCGGTCAGACTCCGGGTCAGCAAGAGCAGGAAGAGAGGACGTAGGAGGAGACGGCAGAGGGACACGCTGTGGAGCAGTGGAAGGACGCAGAGTCATATAGTGTGTGCCAGGGACAGGTGGAGGACGCTCACGCGGAACACGGCGACCAGTGCGAGTAGCACGAACAGGTGACACAGGACGAGACACAGGTGACACAGGACGAGACTCAGGCTCACGACGCTCTGTAAGACCGCCTGTCGGACCAGTGTAGGGAGAAGGACCAGGAAGTGGCGAGGCAGGTGGTAGCTGTGACTGCGACTGGACAGGCGGAGGACACTCTAAGGAGGGAGGAGGACTAGGAGGAGGTGGCTGACCAAGAACCTACTGAAGGAGCGGAACGAAATACGGCCGCGGCGTGAAGTGCCCCCAGAAGCAGCAGAGACAGCACCTGAACCTCCAGCCGAACCAGCGCCAGCAGTACCTCCAGCAGCACCAGTACCTCCAGCAGCACCAGCAGCATCTCCAGCAGCTCCAGAACCTCCAGCAGCACCAGCAGCACCTCCAGCAGCTCCAGGACCTCCAGTAGCAGCAGGGCCTCCAGCTGGCAGTACCTCAACACCAGGAGCTCCACTCCGGAGGCTGCAGCGCCGAGCGTACCACTCACGTAGCCGCGGAGGGGAGGGAGGCTCCGGCTGCGACACTGCACCCGCAGGGCTACCAGCCCCAACTCCAGCAGACTGCCCAGCTCCAGTAGCCCCACTACGGAGGCTGTAACGCTGGGAGTACCACTCACGCAGCTGCTGTGAAGAGGGAGCGCCACCAGGCGCAGCACGGTCAGTCTCAGAACTCCCAGCCTCAGCTCCTCTAGGCTCAGCACTCCCAGTCGCAGCACCCCCAGGCTCAGCACCCCCAGTCTCCGCACCCCCAGGCTCAGCACCCCCAGTCTCAGTACTCCCAGACCCAGCACCACCAGGCTCAGCACGCTCAGCACCTCGCGCAGGACTAGAGTCAACAGCTACCTCGACAGGCTAGACCGGGTCTACCTGGGAAACACCCGAGGGAGCAGCACCCTGGGGAGGGAGGGGGTCTACCGACGGGACACCTGGGGTAAGGAAGAGCGGCGGGGGGGGGAGCGGGGCAGTGCGGTAGGGGAAGAGACGGTAAAAGGGTACCGACTCGTCAAAGGTGACGTCCTGAGAGGCAAAGACACGACGCGAGGTGGGGTGGTAAAACTGCCAGCCAGGCGCGTCAGGGACAAGGCCAAGGAAGACGCAGGGAACGGCACGGGAGGAGAGCTTGTCCGCGGACGTATCGCGGACAAAGGCTCGACATCCCCAGACTCGGAACACCGACGCATCGCCAACCTCCCCCGTCCAACGCAGGGTAGGCGAGGTCTCCGGAACAGAGACACGGGGCCAGAGGTTGAGCTGATGCGCGGCGTACTGCACGCAAACGGCCATAGGAAATGGGGGGCAGCCGCATGGATCATGGAGGTACGAGCGACCTTCATGACAAGACCAATGCGGCGCTCAGCAACCCCATTCTGCTGCGAAGAGGCCTGGAGAGTGAACGTCTGGCGGATGCCGTGCTCCGTACAGTAGGCTGCCAAGAGGTCAGAGGAAAACTCGCCACCTCTGTCAGAGTGCAGACGTAGGACAGGAAAGTCCGACTGGAACCGCTCGCGGAGCTGGAGACGAGCAGCGCGGATCCAGGGGATCAAGACATCAGGGACCTCACCCTTGGTACGCAAGGGGAAGACCGTGATGTAACGCGTGTAGTCGTCGACGACCAGCAGAAAGTACCGCTCGTGGCCCTGTCCCCGGACGCGGGCGGGGCCCCACACGTCCAGGTGGAGAGTCTGCAGGGGAGCCGCTGTGGGAGGGAACGAGGAAGAGTGAGGAGCGGCGCGCTGCCGCCCCTCGACACAGGGAAGACAGGGAGGAGCATACGAGGGTGATAGGGGAGGGAGAACCCTGGGAAGACCAGAGACAAGGTACCTGGAGTGCATGCCGCGAAGGCGCTGCACTGACGGGTGACCAAGGCGGTGGTGCCAGAGAACAGTCCTGTGTGCCAGGGAGCGACACGAGCAGGGGGCCGACAGCTGACCTGACGCAGACGCAGACGCAGCTACCTGAGGGGACTCAGTGGTCAGTGTGTACAAGTCCGACCCCGGCTGCCGAGTGAAGGTAGCCAGGTGACGACCCGTCCGGGCGCACGTGCAGTGCGTCACACGCTCGTAGGCCGGGGTGAACTGGTGAACACCCGCGTCCTGGAGCGCGGAACCCGCCACCAAGTTCGTAGAGAACGAGGGGAGGTAGAGGCCGAACAGCGTGCCAGACGGGACAGCAGGACAAGGGAGGGCAGTGGTGGAGGTCGCAAGGACCGGACCCCCTGAGGGGTTGGCCAGGGAGACAGCAACCGGTCTAGGGAGCTGCTCTAGGGCAGTGCGGTCGCAGAAGAAACAGCGGGAAGCACCTGAGTCCAGTGTGAAGGTGTGCAGTGCCTCAGTAGGTGCGGTACGAGCAGACGTAGCACCTAGGGCAGCAGCCTCACCAGGACCTAGAGCAGCAGTCGCGCTAGCACCTAGAGCTGCAGCCTCACAGGTCCCAATACCCGGGTCTGGCGGTACACTCAGGTAATAGTCACCCTCAGCACTAATAGTCAATGCATACATAGTAGCAAGGATAGCATCATAATCAAGAGCAAAGATATCAATCCCCTTCCTAAGCAGATCAGCCCAGCGGGGTAGCTCAGAGGCGTCAGGGAACTGCTCGCGCCAGGCGTCGTCGAGGCGAAAGAAACAACGTTGCGCCGTGTGAAATTTCCCACAAGTCTGGCCAGTGCGGTCACCTGTGCGGATGACATACGGGCAGGTACCTCCACCCCCAGACCCCCCACGCTGAGAGTACCACTCACGGAGCTGCTGGGGCGAGGGAGTCTCGCCGGGACGCTGCTTCTGCTGCCTCTGGCCACCGCCGAAACCCCCACGCTGCACCGCCCCACCGCGCCCGCCACCCGCTCCACCGCCGCCACCACTGCCACCACCGCCCCCACCACCCCCACCACCGCCGCCGCCGCCACCACCCCCTGTGCCGCCACTGACCCCCCAACCACCCGCGCCACTCCCACCTCCGCCACCACCCCCGCCCCCCCCACCCCCTCCACCGCCGCCGCCCCCGCCTCCACCTCCACCACCCCTGCCCCCCTTGCCCCTGCCGCCCTTGCGCCTCCCACTAGGAGAAGACGCGGCCCCGACCCCCTCAGCTCCGAGGTAGCACCCCTCAAAGAAGGGGGTGCGGGGGTCACCACGAGAGGCACCTACAGCTACAATGCTCTTCTCAGCTGCTAGGAGTTCCTTCTCGAGGAGGTTGACAGTGAGGTCAGTGGGGGAGAGGGCAAGGAACTGGTCCCTGACAGTGCGAAGGGAGTCAGGGAGGCGGGTGACAAGGTGGTACAGTGTGAGGTACATCGGGGGGGGGTTCTTGGCGAGGAAATCGGGGGGGAGCGCGGCACGGTAGCGGAGGTCACTGGTACGGAGGTGGGTGATGAGGTCAGCTACAGTGGCAAACGCGGACAGGTCGGGGAAGAGATAGGGCAGTGAGAGACGGCCTATAGCAGCAGTGGCAGGGGAGGAGTAGAGTGCGACTACTGCGTCGTACAGCTCCTTAGCGGTCTTATGCTGGCCGAAGTGCTCGCGCTCATCTAACGGCAGGTGGCTGCGAACGGCTAGGCGAGCGTGAGCATCACGGGTCTGCCACTGGGAGCGAGCAGTACTGTCAGCAGTAGTGGGAGGTGCGGGAGCAGCGCCGGACGTGTGGTCATAGAGGGAAACATCGTCCTTGGCAGTGATCTGGAGGTACAGGTGAAGGTCATCAAGCCAGACATCGAACTTAATCGGGCGGCCCTCGGCGTCAAAGGAGAGAACATTGGGACTGGCCATAGTGGCAGTAGCAGGAGTAGCAGTAGCAGTAGCAGTAGTAGCAGTAGTAGCACTAGCAGTAGCAACAGAAGTAGCAGTAGGAGCAGGAAGAGTAGTTGCTGCAGAAAGGGCGGTGCGGCTCGGTCAGGGGGCGCGACTCGGGCGGCGCGACTCGGGCGGCGCGGCTCGGGTGGGTATGGCGGCGCGACGGCGGGCCTATGCTCGGTGCGCGGCGGCGCCTAGGGTGCGGCTGCGCGCGGGCCGCGGCTGCGTTCTAGTGGCGGCTAAGCGCGAGCTGCAGCAGCCGACGCGCGATCGCCGCGGCGCGCTGGCTGCGACCTGCGGGCGGGCGGCTGTGGGTCGCGCGTCGGCCTAGGGGCGAGCGGGGCCTACGGGCGACGGCCTGCTGGGGCTCGCGAGAAAAAAAAATCGGGCCGCCCTAGGCGGCGGATTTCCTACGCGCGCGCTAAAACGGCGGGGCCGCGCTCGGGCTGCTAGCGGGCTGCACACGGGCAGCGTGAGAGGAGAGCGCACGAGGGCGCACTAGGGGAGAGGCGCACGAGGGCGCTAAAAAAAAAAGGGGGCGCACGAGGGCACCTCTAGCGGAACGGTGGGCCCTTAGGTCTAGAACCTAAGCTCTTAATACCATGTCAGAAACAAGATGTGATGAACTAGAAGTTGTTTGAGTACAAGTAGGAAACCCTAGTGAAATGTACCCCCTAAAGGCTAACCCACTGTAGCCTACACAGCAGAAACATATATAATGTTTGACAGTATACTATTGCCCCCATGCCTCCTTCTCACCTCCCTCACCTCCTCACTACAGGACCAGCAACGAGCATTGGATATCGTGGAGGCAGACAAGGAGTTGAGCCACCTGAGGGTGATTCAGTCGCCTCTCTTAGACCTTGAAATCCGCGGTGTGCCGGCTCTCAAGTTCATGGGGGACCTGGTCTGGCGGTAGTGCCTGATGCTGTGGTAGTGCCTTGTGTGGCAGTAGAGCTGTGTTTCATGACTGGCTGTGAGGTAATGCCTTGTGTCTGAACTGAAGTGCCTTGAAAGCATACTGGATATTCGAGGTGTATTTGCCCTTAGGCTCATGGTGTTGGAAACAAGTAATTTAAACGCTTCTGAAGTATCGAAGTATCGACACGAAACGAGGCAGACTACAGCGAAGAAACACACGAGTCAACAAAATCAACCGCTGGAGGTTACGCGAAGGTCAAAGGTCGTTGACCTTTGACTTGACGAAAAGTATAGTGCGACAGCAAGGACACATAACTGACTCGTTACTGAGCAGTTACCCGAGTCGGCACTGTATCGAACCGCAACAGCAAAACAGTTAAAAGTAGAACCTTTCATATTCCTTTGTAATCTTATAAAAGCCTTGTATTTCCCTGCTATTAATCAACTTATCTTGTTCTCACACAATGTCAAACATATATGCTTAGTTGTATCTAGGCTTAGTTTATGTGTTTACAGTTGTCTAGGCTATAGTGGGTTTTGTCAAACTTATATGCTATAGTCTGTTTAGGCTGTAGTGGGGTAATTCTTATAAGGTACAACACTTTTAGGTTTCCTACTTGTACCCACCTGCTTTCTAGTTCAGTCATTCATTCGCTCACATTCTAACATGGTATCAGAGCAGGTTCCCTAGTGGGAACGTTTTTTTTAAGGGCCCACCACATTTTTTTTTCCTGCCCTGCCTGAAGCGCGCATCGCGCCTTGCCCGAAGCGCGCCTTGCGCCCTGCCCTAGTCAGGCCCGCCGCGGCCCTGCCCTGTTCGCCGCCCGTCGCGGCCCCTTTTGTCGCCCGTCACGGCCCCTGCTGGACGCGACCCCTACTGCCTGTCGCGGCCCCTACTGCTGTCGCGACCCCACCTGCCGTCGCGGCCCCTACTGCCGACGCGGCCCCTACTGCTGTCGCGGCCCTCGCCCGTCGCAGCCCCTGCCGTCGCCGCCCCTACTGGCGCGGCCCCTGCTGACGCGGCCCCTGCTGTCGCGGCCACCTACTATTGCAGCCCCTGCTGTCGCCGCCCCTACTGGCGCGGCCCCTGCTGACGCGGCCTTTTCTGTCGCGGCCCCCCTGCCGTCACCGCCCCTACTGGCGCGGCCCCTGCTGACGCGGCCTCTGCTGTCGCGCCCCCCCCCCCCCCCCCCTGCCGTCGCCGCCCCTACTGGCGCGGCCCCTGCTGATGCGGCCCCTGCTATCGCGGCCCCCCTGCTGTCGAGGCCCCTGCCGTCGCCGCCCCTACTGGCGCGGCCCCTGCTGACACGGCCCCTGCTGTCGCGGCCCCCTGCCGTCGCCGCCCCCACTGGCGCGGCCCCTTCTGTCGCGGCCCCTGCTGACGCGGCCCCTGCTGTCGCGCCCCCAGCTGTCGCTGCCCCTGCTGTCACGGCCCGGCCCTGCACCCACCCCTGGTAAGCACCCGCGCCGCCCTACTGAGCCACGCCGCCAGTTGCCGAGCCGCGCCGCCCAGCCGAGCCGCACCGCTCAGCCGAGCCGCGCCGCCCAGCCGAGCCGCGCCGCCCACTGAGCCGCGCCGCTCTGCCGAGCCGCGCCGCCCTACCGAGCCGCGCCGCCCTACCAAGCCGCGCCGCCCTACTGAGCCGCACTGCCCTGCCTGCCCTATTGCCTCTGCTGCTCCTGCTGCTACTGCTCCTACTGCTGCTATGGCTAGCCCTACTGTTCTCACCTTTGATGCTGAGGGGCGTGCAGTTGACTTTGACGTGTGGGCTGACGACCTGCAGCTCTTTCTTCAGTGTGACTCTAGGGATGGGGTATCCCTTTTCGATCACACGTCCGGTGTCTCTACTGCTCCTACTGCCACTGCTGACAGTACGGTTCGCTCGCAGTGGACCACTCGTGACGCTGTTGCTCGTCTTGCTGTCCGTAGTCACCTGCCGCCTGCTAAGCGCGCGCATTTTGGCCAGTACAAGACTGCTCAGTCTTTGTACGACGCTGTAGTTGCGCGCTACTCCTCTCCTGCCACTGCTGCCCTCAGCCGCCTCATGCTGCCGTACCTTTTCCCTGACCTTGCCGCCTTTGCCACAGTCGCCGACCTCGTTGCTCACCTCCGCACTAGTGACGCCCACTACCGCGCTGCCCTTCCCACTGAGTTCTGTGCCAAGAACCCCCCCCCCCCCATGTACATCACCCTTTACTACCTAGTCACCCGCCTCCCTGACTCCCTTTCTTCAGTCAGGGACCACTTTCTCTCCCTCTGCCCCACCGAGATGACTGTCGACCTGCTAGAGGAGCGCCTTGCTGCAGCTGAGACGAGTATCTTAGCTGTAGGTGCTTCTCGCGGCGACCGTCGCACCCCTTTCTTTGAGGGGTGTTCCCCTGTCCCCCTTCTCCCCTCTGTTGCTTCTGCTGCTGCTGTCGACCTTGTTGGTACTGAGGAGCTCGGAGCTGCGTCTGCCCCTAGTGGGAGGCGCCGCAACAGCAAGGGCAAGGGGAGCAAGGGTGGTGGAGGGGACGGCGGAGGCGGTGGAGGAGGCGGGAGGGGTGGCGGTGGAGGTGGGGGTGGTGCCGGGAGTGGGGGCTACAGTGGCGGCGGTGGGGGTGGTGGAGGCAGCGGCGGAGGTGGTGGAGGCAGCGACAGCGGTGGTGGAGGCAGCGGCAGCGGTGGTGGCGGTGGCGGCGGCGGTGGTGCTGGTCGAGGTGCAGCCGCGCAGCGTGGAGGCTTTGGTGGTAGCCAGCGCCAGCAGCAGCCGCGTTCCCGTGAGACCCCGTCTGCCCAGCCGCTTCGTGAGTGGTACGCTCGGCACTGTCGCCGTGCTGCTGGTGCTGGAGCTGCTGGAGGTGCTGCTGGTGCTGGAGCTGCTGGAGCTGCTGCTGGTGCTGGAGCTGCTGGAGGTGCTGCTGGTGCTAGAGCTGCTCAAGGTGCTTCTGGTGCTGGAGCTGCTGGAGGTGCTGTTGGTGTTGGAGCTGCTGGAGGTGCTACTGGTGCTGGAGCTGCTGGAGCCGCTGGTCCTGGAGGTGCTCGTCCTGGAGGTACTGGAGCTGCTGGGGCTGGTGGTGCTGCAGGCGTTGGCGCTGCAGGTACTTGTGCTGCTGGTGCTGGAGCTACTAGAGGTGCTGCTGGTGCTGGAGCTGCTAGAGGTGCTGCTGGTGCTGGTGCTGTAGGAGGTGCTGCTGGTGCTGGAGCTGCTGGGGCCGCTGGTCCTGGAGGTGCTCGTACTGGAGGTACTGGAGCTGCAGGAGCTGGTGGTGTTGCAGGCGGTGGCGCTATAGGTACTGGAGCTGGTGGTGCTGCGGGAGCTGTTACTCGAGACCCTGGAGCTGAGGGTACTGGTGCTGTCTCTGGTGTTTCTGGAGGCGCTGCGCGGCCGCGACCGTACTACGTTCCGCTCCTTCAGCAGGTTCTTGGTCCTACTCCTCCCTTACTGAGTCCGCCGCCTGTCCAGTCACATTCGCAGTTCCAGCCGGCCTCTCCACTGCCTGGTCCTTCTCCTTACTCTGGACCAACTAGAGGTCTTACGGAGCGTCGTGAGCCTGGGTCGCGTCCTATGTCGCCTGAGTCTCGTCCTACGTCACCTGAGTCTCGTTCTGAGTCGCCTGTCCGCACTGCTCGTGCTGGTCATCGTGTTTCGCGTCCGCGTCCTCCTCCTGTCCCTGGCACTCTCTCTATGACTCTGCGTCCTTCCTCTGCTCCACAGCGTGTCCCTCTGCCGTCTCCTCCTGCGTCCTCTCTTCCTGATAGTCCGGACCCGGAGTCTGACTCCCTTCGTGCTGCTAGTCCTGCTGTCACGCGTGTCCTGGCCACTGCTGTCACTAACCCTTTGTTTGAGTCCACTGCTGCGTCTGCTCTCGTTGCTGAGCTTGTTGACTTTGCTGCATCCTGTCGCCTAGACTACGCCACTAGTCTTGTTGCTGAGTCTGCGTCTGCGTCTGTTTGTCCTCCGTCCGTCGGGGGTGAGTGTGCTCTTGGCACGGACGTTCTTGAGGACAGACAAGAGGAGTTTGAGTGCTTTGCCGCTGCTGTACCTCCTCTCGTGTCCATGCTGCTTGCCCCTGAGGGAGACCCGGATGCACCAGACATCCCGACCCCGCGCTCTTACGCAGAGGCGATAGAGGGTCCCTACTCCTCTCAGTGGCAGGCAGCCATGGACGCCGAGATGGCTTCCTGGAAGTCCACAGGCACCTACGTCGACGAGGTTCCCCCGCCTGGGGCGAACATCGTCAGTGGCATGTGGATCTTCAGGGTGAAGCGGCCGCCGGGTTCTCCGCCTGTCTTCAAGGCGCGTTACGTTGCACGTGGCTTTAGTCAGCGACAGGGAGTTGACTTCTTCCAGACCTTCTCCCCTACCCCAAAGATGACCACTCTTCGGGTACTGCTGCACGTTGCCACTCAGCGTGACTACGAGCTCCACTCGCTTGACTTCAGCACAGCCTTCCTACAGGGCAGCCTGCACGAGGAGATCTGGCTGCGCCGCCCACCTGGCTTCACTGGGTCGTTTCCTGCTGGTACCCAGTGGAGCCTCCGCCGGCCAGTCTACGGTCTCCGCCAGGCACCTCGTGAGTGGCACGACACACTGAGGACGACTCTTGCTGCTCTTGGTTTTGCTCCTTCTACTGCTGACCCATCTCTGTTTTTACGCACTGACACCACTCTGCCGCCGTTCTACGTTCTCGTGTACGTAGACGACCTCGTCTTTGCTACTTCTGACACTGAGGCACTCGCCCACGTGAAGTCCGAGCTGCAGAAGAGACACACGTGCACAGACCTGGGTGAGCTGACAAGCTATCTTGGCTTGCGGATCACCCGGGACAGAGCACAGCGCACCATTACCTTGACTCAGTCACACATGGTGCAGCAGGTCCTTCAGCGCTTCGGCTTCACGTACTCCTCGCCACAGTCCACTCCTCTGCCTACCGGTCACTCGCTCTCAGCTCCACCTTCGGACGAGTCCGTAGAGCCGAGTGGCCCGTATCCAGAGCTTGTGGGCTGCCTCATGTACCTGATGACTTGCACACGACCTGACCTCGCATACCCTCTCAGCCTTCTGGCTCGCTACGTGGCTCCCGGCAGGCACCGAAAGGTGCACTGGGATGCTGCGAAGAGGGTGTTGCGCTACTTGTGCAGTACATCGGACATGGGGCTCGTGCTTGGAGGACGGGCTCGAGTTGTCCTCACTGGTCACGCTGACGCCTCCTGGGTTGACGACTTGGCTACGCAGCGGTCGTCACAGGGTTACATCTTCAGTCTTGGCTCCGGTTCTGTCTCTTGGCGGTCTACCCGCTCTTCTTCTGTTCTCAGCTCCAGTTGTGAGGCTGAGATCTACGCTGGGGCCATGGCTGCACAGGAGCTACGCTGGCTCACCTACCTGCTGACCGACTTGGGAGAGGCGCCTCGTTCTCCTCCAGTTCTGTACGTCGACAACAAGGCCATGTTGGCCTTGTGTCAGGAGCACAGACTGGAGCACAGAACAAAACACATTGCTCTGCGCTACTTCCTTGCTCGAGAGTTGCAGCAGCGTGGCCAGCTTCGTCTTGCTTACGTGGCCTCTCAGGCCAACACTGCTGATGTTTTCACCAAGGCACTTCAGCCTTGTGATCATCAGCGTTTCTGTACTGTGTTAGGTCTTGTACCTACTGTGCCTCACTTGCTTACCTCTTGACTTTGCCTGTACTGTACTCTTTATACATATACCTGCATGCTTACACTTGCTAGGTTGTGTTCACTGTATTGTTTGCACTCCTTTATATAACTCTGCATGTGAACTGGCCTTGTGGCCATTTTCTTGTGCCCAGACTGCGTGGTGACTTTGTGATCCACCCTGAGCTTGCTTTGCCTTTCTTGACTGGTCTTGTGATCTCTTGTTCTCCCCCACTTTGCCTATGGGGGTGTGTCAAACTTATATGCTATAGTCTGTTTAGGCTGTCGTGGGGTAGTTCTTATAGGGTACAACACTTTTAGGTTTCCTACTTGTACCCACCTGCTTTCTAGTTCAGTCATTCATTCCGTCACATTCTAACAGGTTTAGCCTTAGGGGGTACACAATTTCTCTCGACATTGTACTTGTACCCCTCCCCCTTTCCTAGTCATCCATTCTCTCGTCATTCTCGCTAGTATTCTAACATGGTATTAGAGTAGGCTACTCTTGGGCCCACCACCTACTAGTTCGTTCCTAGCCCCGCGCCCCGCCCGTACCGCGCCCGCGATATGCCTGTACCTAGCCCGCGCCTGGCCCGTACCTAGCCCGCGCTCGGCGGCCCCTGTGTTTGGCCCCTCGGCCCGTGCTTTCTCACGCCCGTGCCCGGCCCGTACCTAGCCCGCGATCGCCACGTCGACACCCGCGCCCGGCCCCGTACCTAGCCCGCGCCCCGTCGACGCCCGCGACCGGCCCGTACCTAGCCTCGCGCTGGGCCCCGTTCCTAGCCCCGCGCCCGGCCGGTACCTAGCCTCGCGACAGGCCCATACCCTGCCCACGCCCGGCCCCGTCTCTCGCCCGCGCTCGGCTCGTACCTAGCCCCGCGCCCGGCCCGTACCTAGCCCAGCGCACGGCCCCGACCCTAGCCAGCGCCCGGCCCCGTACCCTAGCCCGCGCCCGGCCCCGTCTGTCGCTAGCGCCTGGCCCCATACCTAGCCCGCGCACGGCCCCGTACTTAGCCCGCGCCCCGGCCCCGTACCTGCCCAGCGCGCGGCCCCGTACCTGCCCAGTGCCCGGCCCCGTACCTGCCCAGCGCCCGGCCCCGTTCCTGCCAGCGCCCGGCCCCGTACCTTACGCCCGCGCCCGGCTCAGTCCCTCGCCCAGCGCCCGGCCCCGCACCTAGCCCCGGCCCGACAACACCTGCGCCCGGCCCCTTGTTTGGCCCCGCGGCCCCTAGGCCCCTCGGCCCCACCTCACAGCCCGGCGCCCGGCCCCCCGGCCCCTTGTTTGGCCCCTCGGCCCCCTAGGCCCCTCGGCCCCCCTAGGCCCCCCCGGCCTCTTGTTTGGCCCCGCGGCCCCTAGGCCCCTCAGCCCCACCTTACAGCCCGGCGCCCGGCCCCCCGGCCCCTTGTTTGGCCCCTCGACCCCCTAGGCCCCTCGGCCCCCCTAGGCCCCCCTCGGCCCCTTGTTTGGCCCCGCGGCCCCTAGGCCCCTCAGCCCCACCTCGGCCCCGTGTGTTTGGCCCCTCTGCCCCCACTAGGCCACCCGGCCCCTTGTTTGGCCCCGCGGCCCCTAGGCCCCTCGGCCCCACCTCACAGCCCGGCGCCCGGCCCCTTGTTTGGCCCCTCGGCCCCCTAGGCCCCTCGGCCCCCCTAGGCCCCCCCTCGGCCCCTTGTTTGGCCCCGCGGCCCCTAGGCCCCTCGGCCCCACCACACAGCCCGGCACCCAGCCACCCGGCCCCTTGTTTGGCCCCTCGGCCCCCCCGGCCCCTTGTTTGGCCCCGCGGCCCCTAGGCCCCTCGGCCCCACCTCGGCCCCGTGTGATTGGCCCCTCGGCCCCCACTAGGCCACCCGGCCCCTTGTTTGGCCCCGCGGCCCCTCGGCCCCTCGGCCCCACCTCACAGCCCTGCGCCCGGCCCCCCGGCCCCTTGTTTGGCCCCTCGGCCCCCTAGGCCCCTCGGCCCCCCTAGGCCCCCCCGGCCCCTTGTTTGGCCCCGCGACCCCTAGGCCCCTCGGCCCCACCTCAAAGCCCGGAGCCCGGCCCCCCCCGGCCCCTTCCTTGTCTCTCGGCCCCCTAGGCCCCTCGGCCCCCCTAGGCCCCCCTCGGCCCCTTGTTTGGCCCCGCGGCCCCTAGGCCCCTCGGCCCCACCTCACAGCCCGGCGCCCAGCCACCCGGCCCCTTGTTTGGCCCCTCGCCCCCCTAGGCCCCTCGGCCCCCCTAGGCCACCCCCGGCCCCTTGTTTGGCCCCGCGGCCCCTAGGCCCCTCGGCCCCACCTCAGAGCCCTGCGCCCGGCCCCCTGTTTGGCCCCTCGGCCCCTATGGCGTCGCTTCGAGTTCTCCCGTTCGACCCGGAAGGCAGACCTGTAGCATTTGACACGTGGCACGACGATCTGCAACTGTACCTACTGAGCGATAGTCGGGACAGTGTCTCACTGTTTGACCACGTGTCCGGTGCCGCTCCAGCCCCTCCCGCCACAGCTGACGTTTCGACTCGTTCCCAGTGGTTGTCTCGTGACGCTACTGCCCGCTTGGCCATTCGCAACCACCTGCCCGCAACCGAATGTGCTCACTTTGGCGAGCACAGGACAGCACAGGCCTTGTACGACGCTATCGTTGCTCGCTACTCCTCCCCTGCCACTGCTGCTATTGGCAGACTGCTACTGCCCTACCTGTTCCCTGAGCTGTCGGCTTTTGCAACAGTAGCCGACCTGGTTACCCACCTGCGCACTAGCGACGCTCGCTACCGCGCTACCGTCCCTGCTGAGTTCCTTCCCACGAACCAGCCCCCCATGTTCATCACCATCTACTTCATAGTCACTCGCCTCCCTGACTCCCTTCGCTCTGTCAGGGACCACTTTCTCACCCTCGACCCCACTTCCCTCACTGTTGACCTCCTCGAGCAGCATCTCCTCGCAGCTGAGACTAGTGCAGTTGCTGTAGGTGCTGCTCGTGGCACTCCGCGCTCACCCTTCTTTGAGGGGTGCTCCCCCTCCCCCCTTTCCTCCTCCTTCGCCTCTGCTGCTGCTGCTGCAGACGTCTCTGTTCCTGAGGACGTCGGTGCTGCTTCGACTAGTACGAAGCGCCGCAACAGCAAGGGCAAGGGTGG